TTTATTGTTTGCTTGTTTTTAAGACTAGTTCTCATGTAACCCAGGCTAAAACTCACTGTGTAGCCAAAGCTGGTCTTGAACTCCTGATCCTCTTGCCTCCACCTCTGAGTGCTAGGATTACAGGTGTGTACCACCAGGCCCAGCATAATTCTCAAGCTCACTGTGCCCATGAAGGTGTATCTTCATAGTGCTGACTATTGGCTTGTTTTCTTCACTGGATTCTCACTACATCCTAGCTTCTATGGTTATAGAAATCAGTTAGCTGAAATACAGAATTATAAATCTTAAAATAGTAACTTAAACTACTAATTAATTTTTTATAATCTAAGTATTCAATATGTTAATAATTTTTAAAATGTAAATTAAATTTATTTTTAAAATCACCCCAAAGGTGATTTTTGTCAGGAGAAGACTGTGCACTGCTTTCCGGGGACTAGAAGTAGAGAGGGCTTTTTCTTTTTGATTGTGAGCTGAGCCTTTAACAGCTGCACCATCTCTCCAGTCCTGAAAGTGATTTTTCTATAGTGAACTCCTGATGTGTCATGAATCAGAAAATCAGAAAGGGCAATACTAACAATGGCATCCTGCTCTGATGTCCACAGTGCCGACCAACCAAAGAGCAGTGTAGAAACCAACAGAGCACAACATCTGTAGCAAGAACTGTGGAAAATGGGCTGGAGAGAGGGCTCAGTGGTTAAGGGCACTCACTGCTCTTCCAGAGGACCCAGCTTCAGTTCCTAGCACCCACATAGTAGCTGATAACCATATATAACTCCAGTTCCAGCAGATCCCACACCCTCTTCTGGCCTCTACAGGTCTTGTACACACATGGCATGCCTAAATACATGCAGGCAAAACACTCATTCACAGAAAATAAAAATATAATCTTTAAAAAAAAGGTGGGTTTTTTTGTGGGTTTTTTGTTTTGTTTTGTTTTGTTTTTTGTCTTTTTGAGACAGGGTCTCCTTGTAGCCCCAGCTGTCCTGGAACTCACTATGTAGACCAGGCTGGCCTCAAACTCAGAAAAATCCGCCTGCGTCTGCCTCCCGAGTGCTGGGATTAAAGGCGTTCATCACCACACCCGGCATTAAAAAAAAAAAAAAAAAATTTAAAGGAAAAAAAAAAAGAACTTTGGATGATGTCCATTCTCTCATCAAGATGTCCATTTTCTTATCAAGAGACAAGCACATCATATTGAAATATTCTCAGGCACACAGGAGTACTGCCAATGAGCCTGTTTGTTTCTGGTTGTCAAACAATGCAGGCAGAAGGGTTTTCCCCTTTAATGGTTTCAGGGTACAGTAGAAATGATTGGATTTAAATATAGTCATTTAAAAGTCTCAAGTTTTACTTCCTAAAGAATAAAGTGGCATTCAAATGCAAGAGCCATAAGGGTACCCCAGGACCTATGTAAGGTATGTGGGGAGAGCACCAGGGAGTGTCTGCATCCAGTTACCTAGTAATCCCTCTGGATCTCAGGCAGCAGGGCCAGATCCCAGCCCAGAATGCAGAGCAGCTGGCTTCTCCAGATAGGGCCTCTTCTGCTCCACACAGCATTTGGATTTGCTGTCTTAGAACCCTTACCCCAGGGATGGGAAGATTCCAACTAGAGCAGGCTGCCATGGGCATGGCATCATGTAGGTCACACATGGAGCTCTCCAGGGGAGTCCTGGTTAATTTAGGAGCAAGGTAGTAGAACAGCAGGCTGGGCAGCAAGGAACCTAAAGGCTGAGACAGGATGGCACAGCTAAGGAAATGTTGAGTAGAGTGAGTGCCCACAAGTACTAGGATTGCTGCAGAGGTCCAAGTACAGCTGGAACCCTGCCTCACCAGTTGGAGAGAAAGCCCCCAGCATGCTTCAGGCTAAGCTGGGCAGGATGATCCCTTTCCCACTACCATACAACCACTTCTAATGAGCTTACTGATCTGCTCAGCTGTGTGCCACCAGCAATTTAACATTTACTTCAGTCTCTTTCCACATGTGTGGATGCTTGGGTCATTTTTGAATGAATACCTTCTCCGTGGGGCTCTGCCTAATGACATGCCAATCTGCAAATGATGCTGGCATGTGAGCCATAGCCACACCCGCAATTGCCCAGCAACCTTTTTGCTAAAGTTCATTTTGGTCATGCTGAATTCATGTTCAGAGTAGTCAATGCAATGAGAGCATGGAGATAATGCAGCCAGGACCTAATAAAAATACTGCAGGCCTAAGGGACATGCTCTTCAGGCTTTGACCCCGATTGTACCACTTACTGTGGGATCCTAAGATGATTTTCTCCTCTCTGAACTTTACTTTTCACTGGTTGAATAAAAAGAGGCATATGTACATCCCTCAGAATTACTGGTGAGTTAAATGAGTAAACATCTGGAAAGGCCACTGGCCCACAATTGTTGCTCAGGAGTTGTGTCTCTTTGGGGCCATACAGAAAGACGTGTGTGTGTGTGTGTGTGTGTGTGTGTGTGTGTGTGTGTGTGTGTATTATATATATATATAAAATTCATAGATGATAGATGGATGATAGAAGATAGATGATAGACATATATACAAAGGCAAACAGACACATAAAAAGATAAACAGGTAGATGATAGATAGATAGATAGATAGATAGATAGATAGATAGATAGATAGATAGATAAACAGATAGGGAAAAACCTACCTCCCTTTAATGTAATCCTGTGGTACAGCCCTGCCTACTATGCAAAGTTCTGGGTTCAATTCCCAGCAGTGAGTTATGGTGGTATATTCCTCTAATCCCAGCATTGAGAGGCTGAGGCAGGAGGATCAGGAGTTCAAGACCAGCCTGGATTATATGACAAGTTTGAGGCCAGCCTGAGCTACATGAGATCCTGTCTCAAAAAAAAAAAAAAATGGGGCTCTGCAGATAAAAACACCTACCACCAAAGCTACAACCTCAGTTCAATCCCCAGGATCCACAGGGTAGAAGAAGAAAACCAACCCCCAAAAGTTGTCTGCTGACTTCCACACGTGTGCCCTAGAATGTGTGTGCCCCCACACACATACACAAACTCTAAATAGATAAATATAATTAAAATTTTTAAATGTCTTTAATAAAATAAAAATAAGTAAATAAATTTTTTGAGGTCCCAGCGAGCCTATACTTCAGCAAATACTTCTTGGAATCCTGGCATCTATTTTGTGCTTAGAGTCAACTGTTAAAACCACAGAAATGAAATTGCCAGTTGAACGGTCAGGGAACTGTTTAGTGGATAGAGCACTTGCTGTGCAAGCATAAATACCATGTGGGCATAGGGGCCACCTGTAAATCCAGCACTCGAGAGGAAGAGACGGGCTGTCCCTGCTTCAAGCCGGTTAGTTAGACTAGACAAGCCATCCAGCTTTGGGTTCAGTGAGAGAGACCCTGCCTCAGTAAATAAGGTGTCAAGACACCCAACATCAACCGCTGGCCTCCAAATGCACACACACACACACACACACACACACACACACACACACCTACACACCCATGCAAATACCACCACACATGCAGACAGAAAAAGAGAGATTGAAAGTTGAGAAAATATAAAGAATACCAAAGATACTTGAGTCAAACAATAATTCCAAAGACATCACCTTTCCTTTTGTAAACCCCCTCCTTCCCCCTTTTCCTACTTGTACACCCACAATACTGAGAAAACAGCAAAACAGCGTTGCCCAGCCTTTTTTCACCAATTTTAAGGAAATCAATGAATATTCAGTAAGTTGACATCACACCAAAGGAGTGGTCCCTGACCACCCATCACCACGATAACTGACATTCCTTGCCCTGTATCTGAATAGTAAAGTCCTGGGTTTCAGTGAGGGCCTGGTTTGGGGAATGAGATTGGCCCCTTTCCAAATTCCGGGTAGAAGCGTTGAAGGTTTCTAGACATCTCTACAGGCAGAGAGGTCTTCTCTAACTTCACATTATACAGCATGCAGAACAGGGATCTAGGAGTCTTAGATGCCAGCCTCAAGCCTCTATAGGGAGATGCAGACTCAAAGTCAGTGGGCCTGTTGGAAGCAGGTTAGGGATGGGCCTGCACCTACCTCCAGGGGACCCTGCAGCATGGCAGCCACACCCAGGAGGAGGAGAATGGGAAGCGGAGTCAGGTATCCCTCTTATGCAATATGGATGGGGTAATGGAATACTGCACCTTACCCCCCACCAATCCTACTCCCGGTCTCTCCTGGCTCTGGGGACCTCAGGCTCAGCTGCAGGGACATCACAGAAGGGCTGTGAGGGTTCCTGCCCCCTTCCCTCAGCCCCACTACTGCAAGACCCTTTGCCTGGGCACAAAGACATTACCAAGCCAGAGGAAGAGGTAGGAGTATGGGGTCTGCCACAAGTTCTAGGGGACTGGGGAAAGGGGAAGTGGTAATAGGAAAGGACAGGCAGAGGGACAAAGGCTAGAATAAGATATAGGTGGGGAAAGGCTCATTTCGATTTCACTGTGCTGCCCACAGCACAGAGAGGTCGGAGAGAGGCAGGCCAGGCTCTGTGCACCAGGACCATCTGAGACCTGAACACCTGGCTTCCCGGGCCAGCCTCCTCCTCAGCCTCAGTCTCTAACCCTTCAGAGTCCCAGAGACTGCGCTTCTGTTCTGATGTTGTCTCCCGGCATCTGACTTCCAGTTAGCTAGTAGGGGTGCAGCGATGGAAGGATAAGCTTGGAGACTGCAGAGTTCAGCACTCTGCGAAGACTGGACTGAGATCAGGCTGGAAAGCCCAAGACCCAGCCACGCTCCAGACCCCTCCTGGGCTAGCTAGGACTCCCATCTGCTCCTCTGTAAGGTGAAGGCAGAAGTACCCTATATCCCTCAAGTCCCTAATTTCAGGAAGTTACACCCTCCAGTATATCTTGGGAACAATCCATGAGGGACCAGGGCCTCCATCTCCCTTTCTCTGTATTTTCCGGGGATTGGCTCTTGTGTACATGTGTGTTTTCCTCCATGCCTCTATCTCCCTCCACCTCACTCTGGCTACACACCATTACAGAGCCGGAAGGAGCGTGTTCTCTGCCATGAAGCTCAGCAAGACCAGGACCCACAAAGAGGAGCCCCAAAGACAAGGTAGGCCACATGGCCCTGCCCACTGCTCAGACATCCCTTTCAGCCATTTCTTTGAACTGTACCCATCATTCAACCCCACCTGGAACTGGTCTCAACCAGCCCTTCTTCTCCACCCCACACTGGTCAACAAGAGCCACCTAGACAGAGCTTGGACTGCCATTGGCTGACCTAGGAGGCAGACCCCATCAAAAATGCAGCCAGAAGAGGCCCACTAGGATCCAGAACCTTTGCAGAGTGGACAATCCATTCCCCCACATTGCTTATTTAACATTATACACACCCCAAGATTTTTAATTAGAAGAGAGACTAGACTAGCAAGAAAGTAGGCTGTGGTTGATCTCTGCCAGCAGGCCACCTCTCTGTAAAAAGGCCACTGGGCCTGAGGAGCTAGAGTGGCCAGTGGTGCTTGGTGGAGGCTGGAAAAGGGATCTAACCTCTATTTAAGAGGAGACAAGAAAGCAGGTGAAAGGAAAGAAAGACACTTGTGGTGGAGAAGGGAGCTGTGTGCAGGCCAACTGCTGCCATGGGTCTCCCCCATGTGGTCCTCTGGCCCCAGAACTCTCTCTCCCTGCCCCTTTCCTATGCTGATTCCAGCCGTGCCCTTCTTAGATAGAGTATGGCTACTTGAATGAGACCCAAATTCCCCATCTCTCTATCGCCTTTCCAGAACATTTCTTCACCTCATTGGAGTCACACACAGGAGTGCAGGCCTAAATCCCCCATTCCATCGGTGACTTCCATCTGTATGACAGTAATGACCATTTTGACAGGTCTTAGCTATAAGGACTAAGATATATTGCCTGGCACTGTGTCCTGAACCTAGAAGCCACTTAATTAAAAGTAGCCATTGTCATTTGATATATGTAGTAAGCAAGGGCTAGCTCCTACCTTCTTCCACAAAGGATATTCAATACTTCATAAAATAGAGTTAAATAAAAGAATTGTATCAGCTAAGATTTGAAGAAACAAGACCAGACATACTGTCAACCAAAATATTTTAAAACCAACATTAGAGAACACAGTAGATATGTGGATGGCAGCATTCAAAGCAGGTGCCACCAAGTGAACCTTGAATTTGACTCTCACTTTCTGGGAGACAGTCCTACCCCTGTGTCCACTCACCTTCCCTTCTCCTCCCCTGCCCCAGATGAACCGGCAGTGCTGGAGATGGAGGACCTGGACCCCCTGGCCATTCGGCTCAGGGATGGACTGGATCCCGACTCCATGTCTCTAGCCTCAATCACTGCTCTCACCAGCAATGTCTCCAATAAGCGGTGAGTGGGCTGGGACCCTGCAGCTCATCGGGCAGGGCCAACTTGCCAGGTTCTGGATTTGGGAGTATAGGAATCAGGGCCCATGGGAAGCTTCCTCCTAATCCTGCCCCTTTCTTGTTGTCCTTGACTGTCCCCTTGCACAGGCAGACTGCAGTAGGTCACTGAGCCCCTGTGGATGGAGGGAAACAGCACTGCCCAGCCCACAAGTGACTGTTCACCTGAAGTCTGTCTCCCTGTACTTCTGTCTCTGTTTAGTTCTCTCTGTTGGTGCCACCAACAGCTAATCCCCCATTCTGTTGGCAGTCCTTGATTCTGCCACTCTGCTCTTCCTGCATGTTCTCACCATGGCCACAGCCCTGGTAGAACCCTCCCTGCAAGCAAGTCCCTCACGCCAACTCTGACAGTGCATTCTCCTCCTCAGATCTAAGCCAGACATTAAGATGGAGCCGAGTGCTGGGAGGCCCATGGATTATCAGGTAGGTGGGCACCTGGAGGCCCCAGTCTTACAGACTCTACTGGAATGTGGAGACCCAGACAGGTATCCATTATAGACTCCGGGATCTAAATTGGGGAGCCAAAGAAAACCACAAGAGGAGTATAAATTCTCAAAGTGAGCTTCTGTCTGGGAGGCATTCTTAGAAGGATCAAAGTAGAGAAATGCAGACTCCAAAAGGAATTTGAGATCCCTTTTTATACTGCTCAAAGCTCCTTGAAGATTTTGTGTCCAGTGTTAAACATCATAAAGTAAGAGGGGCCTGGAAAAAAACAAAAGAGGACCACATGCTGTGCGTCCAAACTAAAGAAAAAAAGGATCTGACCAGTGGGGTTGTGACTATAGGCACAGTATAGGACAGGGGCTGAACATCACTAGTGGCTGCTGGCATAGGGCCACAGTGGCCTCAGCTTTGCAGGGCCAGACCCTCATTCTTGGCTGTTCTCCCAGAATTGACCAGAAGCCTGAGATACAGAGTTACACTAACATGATTCACAATAGACAGATGTACAAGCCAGAAGCACCTAGCCATTACTTATAAAGTTAAAAACAGGATGAGAGAAGCCATCTCTCAAGATAGGCCCAGGGACCACCCACCCCATGGCTCCCAACCCTCCTCTGAGGAGTTAACAGGGCCCATCCATTGGTCAAGAGACTGTTATACATTCCTAACACTGAGAGAGCATGCTTGCTGATGGGAGTCTTCACCCCATCTGCCTGTATTGCACTCCTGCCTGGAGATGCTTTACCTGGGTACCAGCACCAAGCCCCAAAATCAGAGTGAGTCCCTCTCCCAGAGTAGAGCTTTGTTTTTGATGCCCATTTCCCAGGACCCATGCACAGTACCTCTTCTGCATGGGCAACCCCACCCTTAACTTCCTAGGTACCGACTGATATGAAGGGCTAGATGACACCCTTGGTATGAATAATCTGTCTGGTCACATTTTCCCAAGAATTTGCTTTGTCTCTCTTAACACTTCTTTCAGGTGGTTTCCATCCACTCTGTAACCATCTTCCCTGATGTTTGGAAAAATAGCCCCACGTAATGTCAGATGGTGACACCCTTGTCTTAGATGTCTAACTTCTAGCCTTTGAGCCCCTTAGAGATTTGGAAATGTCACCCCAGCCTCTCTACTAAAACACACACACACACACACACACACACACACACACACACACACACACACCCTGGAACTTTTAAGATCTCCCAGGAGACTGGGCCTGGGAGATCACCTGAGACCAGGAAAATTCCATAGACCCAACTCAGATACTATGCCACTGGCCTGTGCCACAGAAACACATAAAAAAATGGAGGCTTTGTTAATGCAATTTATTTTATAAATATTTATTACATATCAGGCACTGTGCTAAGAACTAAATATGTGTTTCCATCTAAGATGATGTACTTCTTACAACCACCCAAATATAATTGTTACATTTTCACAAGTATTGCATTTTATAGTAAGAACTGAAACCAAAGAAGTGAGGGAGCCTGCCCCGGGTCACAGGTGAATCAAGGCTGGAGCCAAGATTGGTTGGTCCCTGCTTCACTTGAACTCAGTGCTTCCTTTCAACCTCCTTCCTGCTAGGGACTTTTATTTCCCAAACCAGATATTTTTCCCTCCAGAATCTTTTTAAACTTCTGAATTGAACCACAGTTATCACATTTCACCTGGCAGCACAGTGGCTCCTGACAGATCCACTCAGTCCTCCTGCATGTGTTTATTCACTTTGCAAAAGAGCTGGAAAGATTAAAATGCTAAATATTTTTACTTCCAATAAAGGCAACATACAAACCAATGGGGACTTCTCTCCATAGGAGAATTTGGCTTTGATGAATCAGAAGGACCTCAAAAAGCAGACACTGCTGGTGAAAAGAGAGGGGGACCTAGCAGAACTCAGATCCAGGTGGAATCCCGAGGGTCACAACCATCCCAGAGGTTGGATACCAGTGGGAGGAGAGCTGGAGGGAAAAGAGAGCATGATGTACCTATACTCTGTGGACAATTTAGAATGGATGTAACATATAAACTCATTCCCAATTATTAGTCTCTCAGAGGGGACAAGCCACTGTCACCTCCCTGGGAATGGGCACTTTGACCACCAAAGTGAGCAATGTTCTCCACTAGTCAGAGATACTCTTGTGGAGTCACGAATCTTGAGTCTTCCCCATCTTCTCTTCCTGAAACCAGGGCTTAACCACCTCCAAACAGCTCTCCAGTTTCCACCTCCACTTCATTTCCTGGGCCAGCCCCGAAGCTGCAGCCTCAGCTGTGTTACCACAAGCACCCCCATCTTCCTGCCCCCCAACCCCAGCCATCTTCATAGTCCTCCTCCACTCCATCTTCCATCACTGCTGGAGCAATCTGCAAATCTGGTCAGGTCACATCTGTGACTCCTAGAGATGAGAGGAGATAAAGAATGCTGTGGAGCAATGGTATTGGGGGTCCCACCACCTCTCCCCTCTAGCTCCCAGCAGATGCTCTTGATGCATGAACAAATTACCCTGAAACAGGCCACAAGGAACTGTTATTCTTGGGGTTCCTCCAGGATAGAGGAACGCATTTGCCACTCAGAACTCTTTCTAGCAATGGTCTTTCATGGGGCCACTTCAGGATTCTGGTCCTTACCTCAGCAGGACCAATGTATCAACTGGTCACATGGTCCCACTTGAGCTTCTTTACTCTCTGGACTTTCACTCTGGAAAAAATGAATATGAAACCATAGCTCCTTTGCTTTCTTGTACTGGTGTTTCTGTTTCCTTAACATTCGGATGACTGGAGGGATGACCCATCCCCTCCTGCCAAGGTAGAGGATAACCAAGTTCTTTATTCATTTGAAGTGTTATATTCCTCCCTGAACACAGCTGAGGCAGGGGCTGGGGGGCTATGGAAATACCTCCTCCACACACACACCCATCTCTCCCCCCATCTCTTCATGCCTCTGCCCTCCTCCTCGCTCTCCCCTCACTTCTGTCAGTTTCTGACCCTGGCCACTAGTGCTGGCTATGCGTCACAGAGGAAGATGCAAACCTGAACTATGGAACAGACTATGGAACAGAGGGGTCAAAAGGTGGAAGGCATGCATAAAAACCAACCACCATTTTGGCATGGGGAAGGTTGGTCTCCAGATAGCATGTCTGGGATATATACTGAAACCATTCTTTCTCATCTACCTGCCAGTCCTCAGCCACAGAAAGCCTCTTTTGAGCTGGGAGGGAGCTGGTTATAGGAAAAAATGGAATTTTGAAAACCTTTTTCATAAAAAAGGTTCATAGAAGTTAAAACTCTATACACTTCTGTGCAAAAAGAATATTCCAGAAGGACTTCTAGTGTCTCTTCACAGTAAATTTCTCGGAGCTAAGTTAATTAGCCCTGTTTCCTTTTTAGCTCCCTGAAGAAATGGTGATTATTGCAACTCTTTAAAGCATGGATTCTAAATGTTCAGACCTCAGCCCCTTTGACTCTTCAAGCTCCAGAATAGAAGTGTTTCCTCTCATAGTTCAAGTGTTACCTCAGCACACAGTTGGCTCTGTGTTTCTATACTTTCCTGGCAACAGTCTCACTGGTGTTGGGGTTTCTATTTTCCTAGCAGCATTTTTGATGTGTGGATTTTTCTTGATCTTCAGACTATTTATAAGACCTTGAAGAACACAGTGGATGATAATTTTAGTAAGAATTCTTTTTATATAAAAAGAGAAAATAATTCTCCTGAGTAAAGTCATATTTAGAAGTTGCATCAAAGCACAGCAACCAAAGTACCAGAGATCGAGATGAGTGCCATGAACAGCTGCCCTTACAGTTGCACTAGCTAGCGAGGAAATGCTTACTGCAGCTGAGGGGAGGCTCAGGGTTACAGTGCAAGTTCAAGAGTCCTCTGGAGGGATCTAAAGCATGCTACCAAGCTTACCCACTCAAGAGATGACCACAGCTGGAAGGCAGAATCTGAGAGGCCACTTACACCAATGGCTCTCATTCCATGGAGCTTTCTGATTATGATGGCTTTTGGCACACATCATCTCATTTAACCCTCACAGCCTGGTAGGTAGCTGGGGTCTCAGCTTAGAGCTGAGAAAATTGCAGCTCGGTGAGCCCACAGGGTCCTCTGCATTCATTCCTGGCCATATGTAGATCGAGGCTCAATGCCAAATCCAGCAGCCCCAAGTCTGTAACTATTTCTATTTTGCCATGGCCACCCTAGAGAGGACTGACCCTTCCAAATCCAAAGAAAGAATTGATGACCTGAAATGAAATTCAGGAAAAGTAGTAATTACATCAAAAATTTTACCCCTCCTCTCATCCTCCTCCCTTCCCTCTTCTCCCACCAGTTCCCATCTCCCTTCCTCTTCTCCATTCCCTGTCCCTCCCTTCACTCAGTCTCTTTCTCCATATATATGTTTCTTATATTTTTCAGTTATATGTATGTATAACTTTCTATATAGATCTTTATATACATCTTTTTATCTATACATGTCTTTATATGTATGTGTATATAAAGACATATATCTTTGGAGCTGGAGAGATGGCCCAATGGTTAAAAGCACTTGCTATTCTCACACAGGACCTGGGTTTAGTTCCCAACATGCACATGATGACTCACAACTGTTTGTAACTCCAGTTCCAGGAGATCCAGTGTCCTCTTCTGGCCTCCAAAGGCAGGTGGTGCCCATACAAACATGTAGGCAAAACATACACATAATATATATGTTATTTATTATGACATATATCTTTTTTATATATTTAAACTAAAAATATATGTGTTAGCTTAAATCTATAAGCTAGTACTCATTTATAACTAAGTTCCATAAGTAGTAGGAGCTTATTTCAATCTTACCTGTACCTGGCCTCAGCAGGTGTTCCCTAAATATTTATTGACTGAATAGACAGTTGAAACGGGGCTTCCCAGGACAGAAGTAAGGTTCCAGAGAGCTGGAGGCCACTGAAAGAACACAGTTGAACACACACAACATACCATCACCAGGCAGGAAAAGGGGGCCCCGGCCATTCAAAAAATTCAGCGAGAGGAGTGGAGACTGGAACATAAAAAGGGGCTGAGCTTCCAGAAACCCAAGGACATGTCAGAGTCTTCAGGCTTAAACAAGAAATCCTAGTGCAAGAGCTCCAAAGAAAGTTCATGAAGGCTTAAAAAGCTTAATCTCTGGGTGTAGGAAACTAGTGGTTTGGTGGCTTTCCACCAGCAAAGCCACAGCATCAGGAAGAACTCAGATCCTAGAATCACGTACAACTTTTAGGGGTGTACAACTTTAAATATTTTTATGCATAAGAGTGTTTTGCCTGTGAGTATATAAATCCACCACATGCATACAATGCCCAGAAAGGTCAAAAGAGAGTGTCAGGTCCCCTGGAACTGGAGTTACAGAGGTTGTTAGCCACTGTGTGACTGCTGGGAACAAAACCCAGGTCCTCTGATGGAGAGCAAGTGCTCCTGACCACTGAGCTATCTCTCCAGTCCCTGGGGTGTACAACTTCTTAACATTGTCATCTACAAAGTTCATGATCGAAAACTGCTCAAACAAATTACTGCAAAAAAAAATGCTCATAATATTTTAAGTAAGTTTACTATTTTGTGTTAGGCCTCATTCATGGCTATTCTTAGCTGCCTGTAGTAGGTTAAGTATGCCTAACTGGGTTAGGAAAACTGCTGCTGGACCTGTCCTCCATGAGAGGACAGGTCCAGGAGTATGACCCATACACCAGGTGATTCTAGAGGACACTTAGAGATCACCAGCCCATACCCCTCTACCAAGTGCAGACACAGAGACCAGGATCACCCAGCAAATTGGAGGTCATGGTCAGCATGGAGCCTGGGATGTGACTCAAGTTATGCTGACTCCCTTTGTCTTCCAGCCATGATGCTGAACCCAAAGCTCCAGTGGGATTCCAAGTTTCCTCCAACCCTCCATGTGGTCCCCACTCTCCCTCCTGCAGGTCAGCATCACAGTAATCGAGGCTCGGCAACTGGTGGGCTTGAACATGGACCCTGTGGTATGTGTGGAAGTGGGCGATGACAAGAAATACACGTCCATGAAGGAGTCCACAAACTGTCCTTACTACAATGAGGTCAGTGGACCCATGGCTCAGGGTGGGAAAGGGGCCTCCTGACATGTGAACAGGAGCAGCTGGGAGTCAGGCCTCAGCCCACCCTCTTACCACCCAGCACACTGATATGGAGGGCCACACCTTCTGCACCCCAGTCTGGCCCTGCTCTAGTCACAGGTCAACCTTGTAACTCTGTGAACCACCCCTCATAGCAGTCACAGCTGCTGTCCAGTCCTGAGCCTGAGCCAAAGCAGCTGGCTCCAGGGTGCCACTGGCACCATGAAAGAACCCTTCCCATGCACCAAGCCTTCCACTAAATCCATTAGGTGCATCAGCACCTATCAGAGATAATCACTGTTCCCTATTGCACAGTGGGATACTGAGACTCCTGGAGAAAGTCCTCGCTGATCAGGTTCAGGGTGTCTGTCCTCTCTACTCAGCTGCTTTCATGGTCACCTGAGCCTTGGAGACACTTCCCTCAAGAGCATGGCTTTGACTTTGGCTATGAGTAGGAAATGCCTGCTACCCTATGAGTGAAGGACTTCAGAGACTTCATAGTTTGATGTCCACATCTTACAGAGGGGGGAACTGAGGCCTCAGATTGGAAAGAGACTACCCATCATTCCAGAGTGCTGTTGATGGGTCAGAGCCCACATTGTCTACCTGGCCACTCCCTCCAATGCAGCATCTTGACAACTGGGCTCCAGATGGGACCCTATAGTGATCTGCTCTAGAAGTCTAGGGCCCCAAGATCCCTGTCCTAGAGTGGGCACCCAGGCTGCCTACTCCAGTGACTCCAGGTAGCAAGGAGTGCCAGGCTGGTCCAAATGATGCATTCATGTCCTGTGTCCTGTTTGGGGCAGCTGTGGGGGCCTTCAGCTGTGTACCTGCAGGACATAAAATCCAGGCACACTTCCTGCCTTTCAGCCCAAGCCTAGCCAAACTCATGTGTAATCACAAATGGACTACATTCAGCCAGCTGGTGTCCCTCTGGTTCCCAGAACAAGACGTCACTGTTCAGGTGCCCTCTGGCCCTGGGTGGAGTCAGGACATTCAAGCTGGGCATCTCTGATCTTATATCAGGACACATCCCTAGCTGGAAAAGCCTCTTCTCTAGATAAGAGTAGATTTCCCCCTGATGACTGCAGAGACAGGTCCTAAGGCTCTCGGTGGTTATTCAATAATGGTGAAGCCACATGTGGCTGACTCAAGGGTTCACCTTGCATCAAGCCTCATGTTTCATTGAATTCATTTCCTCCATCCAAGGTAGCTTCCCAGCTTTGTGGCTCCTCCAGAAAACTCCTATACTCCCTGCAGAGCCCAACTCAAATGTCCTTGCCACTGAGCAGCCCATAAGTAGAGCAATAATGCCCTTGAGCTGTGATTGGCCTTTTGTGTCTATGTCCCCCCTGATGGACTAAGGGCTCTCAGTCTCCCTCATCACTGTGGCCAGCTCAGAGCCTGGCGGGTATTTGGAGGACTCATTAACACTGCTGAGTGGATTCTTATCCAAACAAAGAAGGGACATTTGCTGAACATCTGCTGAGCACCAGGCTATGGTACTTGGGGGCAGCATCAGAGCCTCAGAGGGGGATGACACACAGCTTCTACCCTCACATGTCACCTTCTAGCCACATCTAGAAACCCTCTCCTATCCTTGGCTTATCTTTGACCAGCTTTCATCTGATCCTGGTCACATGTGTACTCTTGCACAAAGACAAGTACCTCTAATTTTGTTCCTGTCTCTTTCCTCTAAACGAGGTGTCCTCGTTAGCTTTTCCATTGCTGTGATAAAACACTCTGACCAAAACCAACTTGGGGAGGAAAGGGTTTATTTAGATTACACAGTCTGATCACAGTTCATCCTTGAGGAACCAGGGCAGGAATTCAAGTCAGGAACCTAGAGGCAGGAACTGAAGCATGGACTACAGAGAAATGTCGCCTTCTGGCTTACCCCTCTGGCTTGCTCAGTTACTTCTTTTATACAGCCCGGGCCCACTTTCCCAGACATGGGACCATCACAGTGGACCAAGCTCTCTTACACCATTCAGCGACTGAGAAAATAACTCAGGTATGGCCACAGGTCAATCTGATAGAAAACATTCCTCTGTTGAGGTTCCCTCTTCTCAGGTGTGTCAAGTTGACAACTGAAGCTTAACCAGGACACTAAGGTTTCTTAAATTCAGCCCACTGGATATTTTGGAGGGAGAATTCTGGATTGCCCTAGACACCATAGGGCACTGAAGCTACAAGATGTTGACAGCAAGCTCCTACTTGTAGCAGCTAAATATTTTCAGATGTTGGCAGATGTCCCTTGGAAATTAAACCCCTCCCAAGTTGATATGGTTGTTCTACGCTGTCCCCCTGTGGCTTGAAGCCCTAAGAATGGGCTTTCTTTCTCTTACTTTCCTCTTTACTGAAAGGTATCCTCCTAACCATGGGTCTGTCTTGTTTCTGGCAAGTTTTCTGAAAAGCGGAAACTGCCACTAGAACAGCAGAGGGAGGTGGGGACCAGCAACCTGACTTAGTAGATCTCTAAGGCATTCCAAGAAGGAATTATGCTTGGAAAATACAAGGACTCTGATTCCGGCCAGCTCAGAACATGTGGGATTCTGTCCCCAGCCTAGCCAGCTCCTTGCCATGGGGCTGGTTCAGTTCTGATGCACCTGGCATGGTGGCTCATCAGCATAGCTCTGAGCCTGCCTGGGTAGGAAGACTCACAACTTTTTTTCCTCAATAACCTGGGATCAGGCCAAACCCCTTCTCTGTGTGGGCATGTGGTTACCTGGACAGTCTGCAAGACTGTTCTTCCTCCTGCCCAATGTCCACCTCTCATCTTTGCCATGGACCCTTCTCTTTCTACATCCCAAAGGATCGAACATTGCACCTTTCCTAGCACCCCAATTCTGGCTTTGCCTTTCTTCTGGCTCTTTCCTTCTCCCTTGCCCACATGATGCTCTAACAGCAGAATATTCTGTCTAAGCACAGCCAGGACAACCCATAGATTCTCAAGGTCAGCAACCCAAAGTCCATCACTCGAGGAAGGTTTTTCTCCACTCCCAACTGGCTCTCCAGGATCCTCCTTGTTAACGCCCCTACTCATAATAGACATGTGAGCTGTCCCCACCCTCTGCCTCTCTGTAGTACCCTGGCCTCTTCATCTTGTTGCCTGCCCACTTCCCAAGTGCTCTCTTACACTCTTCCAGCTCCTTCGTCACAGCTTCCTAACTGCCATTGCTTCCATCACCCACCAAAGATGTCTGCTGCTTCACAGAGCCCTGTCCTGGGCCCTCTGGCAGTCTCCTCAGGTGTCTTCCCCATTCCCACACCTTAGGTTATACTGATGGTTCCCAAATCCAGACCCCACCTGCCTCTCCAGAGCAGCAGACCCTCACCCCAGTCAGCACCCTCTAGACTTATCAGCCATGCATGCCAGTTAACATTCATTGCGCCTTTACTAGGTACATACCCGGGCCCTCTCATTTTAACTTCACACCCACACCTTCCAGCTTCTGTGTGGATGGTAGACAGCGTGGTGGCCTGATGTCATTATCACCATAGCACAGGGGTGAACTGAGGCTCATGAAGGGAAGTGATGAACCCAGCAGTAACAGCTAAATGTCACTGGCTTTAAAGATGCACAGTGCTTACATATAAAGATCCTAGAGCTGGAAATTCTTGTTCTTGGGACACTGACCCTAATCGAAGCCCTCTGGTAACACAGCCTTCTTTCTTTGCTCTGCACATAAGTTCACCAAAGCAATGTTCACTCTTCTCACTGCCCTCACCCTTACCCCCACCATGGCAGCCAGGACAAGGGTGGGAGCTGTAACGGAGACGGAGGCTCACAGTAGACAAGAACAGTTCACCCTGCAGCATTTTGCTTTCATGGCAGAGGAAATGCCCTCTCACATCAAGTGTGTCCATTCAAAGACCCCACCCTGTTTTTACCTCTAGGGTAGGAACACATCTTGCAGGCAGCATTGAGGTTTAATGGTGATGTCTGCATGGCCTTCCCACCAGGTGTACCTCACAGTCAGTAACATTCCTGATTCCGTGGTGTGGCAGCTGATGTCAGTACCCCTGTTTTGCGGTTGTCTGAGGGGCATGTTAGAGAGCATATCAGTCAAGTCCCCGCAGCTAGAAAAGGGCAGAGCTGGCCTAGAACTACATTTCCTGGTTTCCCAGCTGGGGTCCTTCTGAGCACAGCACATAAACCCAGGAGTGACTGACCTTTGGACACTGCAACATGATATCATCTACAAATGTGGTGGGTCTCATTCATAGCTATACTGGGCTGCCCACAGCATGAACACACCAGGTAGATCATTCCTTCCCCCAGTAGTAGAAGACCCAACCTAGGAGACAGGGCTGTGCTTCTCACCTACCTCCACCTCAGTCCCTCAGAACCCTATGGGTCACCACTGCTGCTCATCTGAACTTTCAGGCTCAGGGGAAATGATGGGGTACAGACAGGCACTGTCAGGAGGGAGGGGCCGCCAGTGACAGCAGCCTGGGTCTTTCCCCTCCAGTACTTCGTCTTCGACTTCCATGTCTCTCCTGACATCATGTTCGACAAGATCATCAAGATCTCGGTGAGTGAGCAGCCCCAGCCAGCAGGCAGGGCCACTAACTCAAGTTGCACCTTGGTACAACCTTGGAAGACACTGTTCATGACAAAGCAATCCCATGCCTGGGAAATGGCTATCACAGCATAGATGTTGACCCCCCTCCCTCTTGCTCCTTCAGCCAGGTAGATTATACAACCTATTCACCCACGCATAACAGCCAGAAATAATAATAATAATTTTTAAAACCACAGATGTTGGGTGGGATAAGCAAGCTACCCCTGCCCTGCCAAACCTTCCTGCTTTACTATAGAACTTGGGTCCCCTGAAAGATGAAAGTAACACCATCGTCAATGGGTCCTGCCCCTACCCTTGCCTCAACCCCACAAAGGCCTCATCTTGCCCAGCCTGACTGGTGGTTCTGCCCTGAAGGTGATCCATTCCAAGAACCTGCTTCGCAGTGGCACCCTGGTGGGCTCCTTCAAAATGGATGTGGGGACTGTGTACTCCCAGCCTGGTAAGTAACCCACTAAGAATGAACTGGTCAGCCTTGGTGCATGCCACTCCAGGAGTAACACTTGAGGTCCTCCCCATGATGTTGGTTCTTGGGCTTATCCATCAAGGAGCATATAGATACAGTTCAATGGCCATCAGTATGCAGTCATGGGCAGGAGGGCGGTGAAGTGTGCAGTCTGATCACAGATGCAAGGACCATGTACACTGGGCCTGGTGAGTGCTGGCTCACTATGGGGACAAGAGATCTACACAGAGCCTAGAAGTAACTATACAGAGTGAATGCTTGAATGTGTGTGGCACACTGGAGAGTCACCTGTTCTGTGTCTTATGAGAAAGTTGTTTCGGGTACACTGAGCAGCCTTTGAGGGAGCATGCCCACACACTGCCTCTGGCTGGTACCTGCTGAGCAGAAAGGACCCCTGTTATCTTTATTGGAGCCCCATCACCTCTCTGGCCATGGCGATGCCTGAGGCTCACAGATGTGCCAGGATTTGATCCAGCCAATCAGCCGATCAGGAGACCACCAGGTCATGTGTTCCATCAAGTCACACTTTCCAATCTAAATGTGGTGACAGTCAATGGCAAGTGTGGTACAGCAACCTTTTGGGGACTCTGGACTTTCAAAACACTTCACAAGGGACCCAAGCCCTCTGAGAAGTAGCCATGGTGGGCTGTGACTGATTAGCCACTCTGAAGGTCCCTATGTGTCAATACTCTGTGTAGTTGGCAAGGATGTCCCAAGAGATGGCCTAAAGGACTTGCCACTACATGGCCAACTTGGGAACACACACGTTACTGAAGCAGTTGCTCAGAAGCAGTAAAAATCCCATGAGGCACTTTGATGGTGACAATACAATTTCACCCAAATTGTCACATTCAACCCTTACAAAGTGTGGCAAGAGAGACAATAGTAATTTTACAGACGCATCCAGTGAGTGGAGAGAAAGGAGACGGTTTGGAGGTGCCAATTATAAGTAAGTTGAACAATTGATACTTTCTTGCTGCCCATCCTCATAACACTCAGCTGGTGAGCATTGTAACTGTGCCAGCATTGTAACTGTGCCTCACATCAGGAAATTTGAGTTCAGTATCTAAGACTGTACACATGAAAATCACAAATCAGAACCTTCGAGCTATGCGGCCTTAAAACATCTAGTCAGGTCCCTGTTAAAATGGACAGGTAGGCTGCACAGGTAGGTCAGTTGATAGAGTGCTTGCCTAGCATGCACGAAGTCCTTAGTTCAATCTCCAGCACTGCATAAACCAGGTATGGTGACACTGTAATTCCAGCACTTGGGAGGAAGAGATAGAAAGACCTAAAATTCAAGGTCATTTTTGGGCACATAGCTGGTTAGAGGCTAACCTGGGACACATTAAAAAAAAAAAGAAAGAAAGAAAAGAAAGATGGACAGACCCAAGGTGATAAAGGGACTTTCCCAAAGTGTGAGGGAGAACCTGGGCCCTCTGGTACCCAAGCCAAGGCCTTTTCCACTACCTAAACAATCTGGAGCCTCCAAATAGGGACCACAACCTCCTGAATACCCATCACTGCCCGCTGACTTCAAGGAAGAGTCTATCTCCTCCTGTGTTGCTTCCCACAGCCATGGGCCACAGGTTTGAGTGCCACTTGCATCCCCAAGGATGACTTCCTCTCTGGGCTAAGCATCAGCAGGCAGGCCTGCAGTCAAGAGTCAAGAGACAGAAGGGAGATTAATATACACTTCTGGGTAGTTGAGTCCTGACTAGGACAACACTGCTCTTATGGAGGTGGTAGGTCCAGGCTCTGGGCCAAACACACTCCCAGCAGGTCTAACCTCCCTATTCATTGTTCCCATCTCACAGTAAGGAAACTGAGGCTCTCCAAGCCTAAATTGCTGGTCCAAAACTGCAGTGGGAATAAGTGGCAAAATAGAATATGAACCCAGGCTTTCCACCAGTATAATCCATTCCCAGACTTACTGCTCCTGCTGAGTCTGCCCCTGAGCCTGGTGCCCTCCCTCCAGGAGGCATGCACTCTCCCTTTCATGCTCTGCTCTCCAATCTGGCTTAAAACTGCTCACTGCTGCCCTCTGCTGGAAGTGGCTTATAGTCGTAGAGGAGGTTTTTGTGGCTAGCAGCTTTCCAGCCCATCCCACCTCAGCCACAATTGTCAGAGCCAGGCTGAAGATGGAGTCCCATCTCCAGAGTTGGAGTCCCATGTTGTTCTTGTACCTCCAGTCTCAGATAATGATATCAGGATTAGAAGGACTTCGAAGGCCACCAATCCAGTGGTACCTCTGAGCAGCATCTCTTATGGTGGGGATACTCACCATCCCATAATTGAGACAGCTCCATTTCCTTCATGTCAGATAAAAATCTGTCATCTGTAATCTTCACCTTTGTTTGCAGATCTATTTGGGTCTTTTTGAGACAGGGTCTCCCTGTAGCCCCAGCTGTCCTGGAACTCAGTATGTAGACCAGGCTGGCCTTGAACTCACAGAGATCCACCTGCCTCTGCCTCCCAGGTGCTGGGATTAAAGGCATGTGCCATCACACCCAGAGCCATCACACCAGGTTAAATTTCGAGTTACTCTTGCATCTTGTTCTTTCCTTTCTAAATTTCCCCAGTTCATCTAACCATGTGCATATCTGCCCATCTACCCACCTATCCAAAAGCCACCCACCCACCTATCCATCCATCCACTCCTGTCCACATCATAACAAATCCTGCTATCCATTTATCTACCCACCATTTACTCATCCATCCACAGGGCCAGCAGGCAGCCCACCCTCAGTCATCTGTCCATCTCTCCAACAGACATGTAGCTATCTGGTCATCCTTCCATCCTATACACATCTTCTCAGGCAATACTGTGAGGTCCTGAGATCCTCCTCAGGCCACCAACTGAATATAAGTTGTCCAGTGACCATGGCTTCCTGACTTCTTACCACCTTTGATTTGTCCTTCACACTGCTGTGGACTTATCTCTCCTGACATCTAAACCAGCCAGTGAACACACAGCCTGCTTCTCCCAGCCTCAACCTCACCTCAGGGAGTCCTTTAGGGTCAGAGCCTTGGAAGATACTAGTGGAAAATCAGGAAGGAGTTCTGAGCCCCTGGAGATTTTGGTGGGCACAGGAAACTAAAAGATCCCTTTCTCCCCATACCTGCACACTAGCTTTGAAGTCAACCCAGTGGGGAAGATCGTCATAAAATGCCTCCTTTACTCCATACTATCTTGTGTCTTAGGGACACTGGGGAGACAGACTGCCTGTCCCTGTCTCAGTCTACAGTTGGAGACAAGCAGTACATAGATGATCACAGTAAGGTCGGAGGCAGCCTCACAGGGTCCCAAGAGCACCAAGAGGCCAGGACCAATTCCTCCAAAGCAGTCAGAGAAGGCTGCATGGAAGAGGAGCCCCTAGGACAAAATGAGTAGAAGCTTTCCAGCTAAACAGGGAGAGGAGCGAAGGTGAGGGCGTTTGGAGCAGACACAATGGCTTGGAGTCTGGCTCAGTGCAAGCTCAGGAAGCAATGATTACTTTGCCTGGAAAGGGCTGGAGTGGTAGAACTGGGCAGGAAGGAGAGCAGCAGGAGACCCATGAACCTTTGGGCTTCACATGAGGCAACTCAGAACGGTTGAAAATGGGAGGTGAGAAGAGGCCCTATCCAGCAGCCATGTGAGACCAGCTGTAGCTGGAACATTAAGGGAGTCTGCAAGCTGAGAGACTTATTAGGAAGTAATTCAGAGTCCTAAACGTGTGACCCTGGGTGGGGCCTTGCCCTGCTCTCTAGCTACAGAGGAAATCTGTCTTCTCTGGGCAGAATAAGCAGAACTGTGGCCATAAGTATCCTGGGCCTTCCAGCCTTGAGCCCTTGGGGCCTAGAAGGCACTCAGCTTGGCTGCCCCATGGCCTACCCTGGGGTAGGGATGGCAGGTACAATGCCTTTCCTCACCACTGCAGAACACCAGTTCCATCACAAGTGGGCCATCCTGTCGGATCCTGATGACATTTCTGCCGGGCTGAAGGGTTATGTGAAGTGTGATGTCGCTGTGGTTGGTAAGGGGGACAACATTAAGACACCTCACAAGGCCAACGAGACAGATGAAGATGACATTGAAGGGTGAGGTGCCATCTCCCCTAGAGACCTTCACCCAACCCTTCTTCCCCCAAAGGAAGCGTCTAGGATAGCCTGAACCTAAAGTTCTTGCCATTTATCCCCCTTACCTCCATGTTCCACCCAACCTTGAGGGCCTGGGACAGTGTGGCTGGAGGGTTAACAGAGGGCAGTGCTTTGACATCCAGACTGAGAACAATGGTAAGAAGAGGAGACACTGGGTGATATGAGTCCTGCTACTGAAAGGCCTAAGAGTCCCTGTGCCATGCACCCAAGACAGCAGAGAGATGCCATTCAGTGTGTCAACCTCAGGCAGCAGAGACAGTGACTAAGAAACACTCTAGGATACTGTCTGGACTCAGTGAGGAAACATGCCAGGATTCAGTGAGCCTGTTCTTTCATGGGCTGGGGAAAGAAAGCAGCTCCTGGTAAGGCTTTTGTCTGGGGAGAAAGGATATAGCACAAAGCTTTGAAAGTCGATAATACCAAGATGGGCATTCTGCTCTACAAGTTACAAAGCACTCACATAGTATAGCCTGTCTTACTGCTTTCCTGGGAGGTGGCTATTATTATTATTATTACCACCTTAATAAGGAGGCAACTAAAGCTTGATGAGATGAGGAGCTTCACCCAGAAGCCCACAAGGAGTCATGAATTTGAAGGTCTTTAATCAGAGTCTGGGTCCTCTGAGCTGTCCTTCATAGATTGTACCAGGCCCCAGGGGATCCAGGTGCTAGCTAGGATGGGAGGCCCTGGGCCTGCTGCAATGGCCTTGGCTACCTGTGCTGGCAGGAACTTGTTGCTCCCTGAGGGAGTGCCTCCAGAACGCCAGTGGGCCCGGTTCTATGTGAAAATTTACCGTGCGGAGGGGCTGCCCCGGATGAACACAAGCCTCATGGCCAACGTGAAGAAGGCTTTCATTGGCGAGAACAAGGACCTTGTTGACCCCTATGTACAAGTCTTCTTTGCTGGCCAGAAGGTATTGAAGTGGGAGGTGCAGGAGGCTGGGGTTAGGGATAATGGGCTTAAAGTACAGAGAGGCTGAGGCAAAGAAGAAGAGATCTGAAGCTTTCAGATCAACTAGGAATCATCTCTACCATGGACCAGGTTTGAAGAATCTTTTTTTTGCCTCGTAGGTCCTTAGATGAAGAACCACAAAGGGAGCATGATGGGAGGAGAGGCTAGGGGTCAGGGAGGAGAAGAGATAAAGCAAGTATGTGTATACACACCCTAACCCTCACTTCATCCCACCAGGGCAAAACATCGGTGCAGAAAAGCAGCTATGAGCCACTGTGGAATGAGCAGGTTGTCTTTACAGACCTGTTCCCCCCACTCTGCAAACGCATGAAAGTGCAGATCCGGGACTCCGACAAGGTCAATGATGTGGCTATCGGAACCCACTTCATAGACCTACGCAAGATTTCCAACGATGGAGACAAAGGTCAACAGCAGAGCACGGATGTGTTGGGGTGGGGGATGCTGAAGAGGAGTAAATGAGACCCCGTCCCCTTACACTACCTCAGGATCTCAACCCGACAGGGATCTCAAGGGTCTTATTTGCAGTTCCTGACCCAAGGAATGGGAGGAAGTCACAGCCCAGGCTGCTCTGAGCTGACAGGGCTAGCTGTGTGACATTTGCACTTGTTTTCCCATCTGACAAATTAAAAAAACTGTTACATAATCATTTCCACACAGATCTAGCCATCATTACAGTACACATGCCCTGTATATATAATCCTAGTATCTTCACCAGTACTTGTCTAGGGGCCTGTGGGAACTAATTCTGTTCCAGAATCCAGGTACTGTGCCAGGCACATGGATACAGTGAGATCAGATGCCACTTCTGTCTTCCTCACGCTCCTTGGGGGTTAAAGAGGCAGATGTGATGCCAAATGACAGATATGACAAAACAGAAGGCAGAAGAAATGAACACTCACACATAGGACTCCACATATAGGAGATATCTAGAAGAGGCAAATCAGAGACAGTAGATTTGTGCTCCTGGGAAACAAAGGGAGGGTGGTTGGGAGCACCTGCTTAGAAGTTTGGGGTTTCTTTTTGTGGGGAGGGGGAATGGAACTATTATGGAAGAAGACAATGAGTGCCCAGCATAGTGACTGTACTAAACCACCAAAATGTGCACTTTAAAAATATTTTATTCTCATCGCCGGGCGTGGTGGTGCATGCCTTTAGTCCCAGCACTCAGGAGGCAGAGGCAGGCAGATCGCTGTGAGTTCAAAGCCAGCCTGGTCTACATAGTGAGTTCAGGTCAGCTGGGACTACAGGGAGACCCTGTCTCAAAAAGGCAAAAAAAATTATGATTTTTATTTTATGTGTGTGAGTGTATTGCCTGCATGTATGTAAGTGCACCCATGTCATGCAATGCCTGTGAAGGTCAGAAGAAGGTGTTGGATTCCCCCTGGAACTGGAGTTGTGAACAGTTGTTAACCACCATGTGGGTGCTGGGAATCGAACCTGGGTCCTCTGCAAGAGCAGCCAGCACTCTTAACTGCTGAGCCAACTCTCCAGCCCCCAAAATATGCACTTTAAATGTTAAATTTTGTATGTGAATTTTATCTCCGTCTTTTGGGTTTTTTTTTTTTGGTCTTTTTGAGACAGGGTTTCCCTGTATCCCCAGCTGTCCTGGAACTCACTATGTAGACCAGGCTGGCCTTGAACCCACAGAGATCCGCCTGCCTCTGCCTCCCGAGTGCTGGGATTAAAGGCGTGCGCCACCACACCTGGCTTCAGGTTTTTTTTTTTTTTTTTTTTTTAAACACTGTTTTTAAAGAGGCGGGCTGGAAAGATAGTTCCATGGTAAGAGCATTAGTTGCTCTTGCAGAGGACTCAAGTTCAGTTCCCAGCACCCACACTGAGCAGCTAACAACTGTCTATAGTTCCAGTTCCAGGGGATCTGATGTCCTCTTCTGGCCTTCATTTGCATTGCACAACACAAGTGCACAAGTGCATGTGTGTACACACACACACACACACACACACACGCAGGCAAAACACTCATACACATAAAATTTAAAAAATTTTAATTTATAAAATAAAATCAAAAAGTAGATATAGGGGCTGGGAGATAGTAAAGTGCTTATCTTGCAAGTAGGAGAAGCTGTGTTTAATCCACAGAGCTCACATTAAGAAAAACAAAAAGGGGGCATGGTGGCATACACTTGTAATCCCAGCACTGGGGAGGCAGAGATAAATGAGTTTCTGGGGGCTCCCTGGCCAGCCAGCCTAGCTTACTTGGCAAGTTGTGGAACATTAAGATACCCTGTCTGAGTTCCAGGCTAGTGAGAGGCTGTATTTAGAAGAAAAAAAAAGTGGATAGTGCCTGAGGACTGACACCCAAGATTATCCTCTGGCCTCCATATGTACGTGCATATGTGTACACCCATATAGACACAAACATGCACATACATGTGTACATAGACAAAATACAGCCGGGCATGGTGGCACACACCTGTAATCCCAGCACTTGGGAGGCAGAGGCAAGCGGATCTCTGTGAGTTCAAGGCCAACCCAGTCTACATAGTGAGTTCCAGGCCAACTGGGGCTACAGGGAAACCCTGTTTCAAAAAAGACCAAAAAAAAAAAGCAAATACATAAAGCAGAATTAGATTCACATAAGGCAAAGTGCATTGAATGAGGCCAAACAAATCCCAGCCTTGAGATCCTCCTAAGGATGCAGTATTTCCAGGCTGGGACAGAGAAAAGACCCCCAGAGAAGAGGGAGGGTCTCCTAACCAGGGGAGATATATGGTATATCTGAAAAGAAAGCAAAGGGCACACACCCATGTTGAAGAGTGCGAGAGAAGCTGGCACATGTGCACAAGTGGTATGGTCGACAGCCCCTGTTCTAAGCACCAGGGAGCCTGACTTTCTCATCCCCACACCCAGCCAAGGCCCCTACAGAGCATAAGCAGACACCAGAAAGCACCACATACATTCTTAAGTGTGAGAAGGCTGCCCTATACCTGCTTTGCACCCAGTGGACAGGGTGTCTTGGGCTCAGCACCCAGGAGGCCAACAAGGGGTCCCTGTTGCCCCAAGTAAGCCCTGGCTATGACATGGTCCCTCCTGTCCCTCCATGTTGTTAAAGGTTTCCTGCCCACACTGGGCCCAGCCTGGGTGAACATGTACGGTTCCACACGCAACTACACACTGCTAGATGAGCACCAAGACCTGAACGAAGGCCTGGGGGAGGGCGTGTCCTTTCGTGCCCGCCTCATGCTGGGACTGGCTGTGGAGATCCTGGACACTTCCAACCCTGAGCTCACCAGCTCCACGGAGGTGCAGGTGGAGCAGGCTACACCTGTCTCAGAGGTGAGGCCCAGGCTGTGCTGCATTCAGATCCACAGTTCAGTCACTTCCCCACGACAGCTCTTGACTTCTAGTTTTGCCCATTGCTGCCCTGTCTACTCAGGGATCTGTATCCTAGGACAAGACGCCCCCAGGAAGCAGGGGCCCTCACCTGGCCCCTCTGCAACACCTCAGTCCTCATCTACTGCTGATCTGTGTCCTGCCCAGAGGCCTCACAATGGCCACTAGTAACCAAAATGGTGCCTCACCTCTGCCCATCTTCCCATGGCTGTCTTTGTATATACACAGCCAGTCCTTCTCCCAGGGACACCCAGGCTGAGGGCTTTAGGGTCCAGACCGCCTAAACCCAAAGTTGGATGGAACATATTCCAACTGTCAGCCAAAGGGCCTATCTATGACATTAGGAGACCTTAGCCAAGCCTGTTGCCCCCCTGAAATTCAAGGTTGATTTGAACTGCCTTCCCCACAGAGCTGTACAGGGAAAATGGAAGAATTCTTTCTATTTGGATCTTTCCTGGAGGCCTCAATGATCGACCGGAAAAATGGAGACAAACCAATCACCTTTGAGGTGACCATAGGTGAGTGCTGGGATCATGGGGAGGGTCTTCAGGCTTCAGGACCCTTGGTGTCATCATTGAACCTGTGCCTCGGGCCTCAAGGAGTGAGCAGCGTGATGTCTTTCCCCTAACTGTCCTCAAATGTCTGAGAAACACTTCTGGCTCACAAGAGCGTTCTTGACTCTGAGAGAGGGCAACCATCACTCCACTACAGGGCTGGAATGGAGCTGGGATGTGAGAAGAAAGACAGGAGCACCCCCTGTGGATGTGGAAGAGAGAGGGGAAATCCAGTCCATGTCCTAGGCTGGGCCCAGCAGTCCTCAGAGCTCTCCCTTATGGGGCCAGAGGGAGGGGATGTGACATGGGGACTTATGCCTGGATGGTGTTGTCTGAGCCGCATTCTCTGCCTTTACCTCTCCCAGAGATATGCCCAGACTAGATGGCAGGTGGGGTGGGTTAGGAAAGGGCTGTAGGCCTCTGACACTCCATTCTTTGTCCAGGCAACTATGGAAATGAAGTCGATGGCATGTCACGACCCCAGCAGCCTCGGCCCCGGAAGGAGCCTGGGGATGAGGAAGAAGTTGACCTGATTCAGAACTCAAGTGATGATGAGGGTGATGAAGGTGGAGACCTGGCTTCAGTGTCCTCTACCCCACCCACGCGGCCGCAGATCACAGACAGGTAGGCCCTGTTGCCTGCTCCAGTCTTGTGGCTGCAAACCTCAGACCCTCAACCTCCCATTGCATCCCACTCCAGGAACTACTTCCATCTGCCCTACCTGGAACGCAAGCCCTGTATCTACATCAAGAGCTGGTGGCCTGACCAGCGCCGCCGTCTCTACAATGCCAACATCATGGACCACATTGCTGACAAGCTGGTCAGGGCCAAGAGGAGACAGTGGGGTCTGGGAGACGGGGTACCTGTAACACACAGGCTGTCTATGCAAAGGCTTGTTTGGGGATAGAGAAGGGGGATCCCAGTAGGGTCCCAGAGCTCTGGAGTACAGTCTAAGGATCTGCCCCTCTAGCCTTGGGCTGTTAAAGGAAACTAGGCATCCCCTCTGCTCTCCAGTCCTGGGTTCTGCTCAGCCCAGAGCAATCACAGCCCTAGAGTGCTTCTTTCTGCAGGAATTGAAGACTCCAGAAATAGCCAGAGTCCCCAGTTTCCACAACAGACCCTTGTCCTGGAAACTTAGTGGCTCCCTCATGATAAATAGGGAATGCTCCTAGAGAGAGATTCCAGGTTACTAGGTTCCTATTTCCCCTGGTGAATGAGAAGAAGACATCTGGGGAGGCTGAGGAGGAGGGCTGGCTGTGGTCCACAGTGCCTTTGAACCCTGGTTCGCAGGAGGAAGGCCTGAATGACGTGCAGGAGATGATAAAAACAGAGAAGTCCTACCCCGAGCGCCGCCTGCGGGGTGTGCTGGAGGAACTCAGCTGTGGCTGCCAGTGAGATGGGCTGGAAGGGTGGGACAGCACAGACACCCCAGCCAGGACTAGGCAGAGAAGATGGCTATAAACTAAGCCTTGGCTCTCCCCTTCTTCTGCACCCCTGCAGCCGCTTTCTCTCCCTCACCGACAAGGACCAGGGCCACTCATCCCGCACCAAGCTGGATCGGGAGCGCCTCAAGTCCTGCATGAGGGAGCTGGTGAGGCCACAGCTGGACCCCGGGATGGGGGAATGGTCTGGCTGTGAACAGGGGACATCTGTTCTTAAGGTCATGGCCTAAGCTGTCACCCCAAACAGCTGAGCATTCCTTCTAACCTCTCCCCAACAGGAGAGCATGGGGCAGCAGGCCAAGAGCCTACGGGCTCAGGTAAAGCGACACACAGTACGAGACAAGCTGAGGCTGTGCCAGAACTTCCTGCAGAAGCTGCGCTTCCTGGCAGATGAGGTGTGTGGCCTGTAAAAAGGCAGGGGGGCAAAGAAAGAGGTTGACCAAATCCCTTGGGTGGCCCTTCCTTTTCAGATGGCCACTAGGGATGAAGTTGAGCAAGTTCAGTAGGAGAGGAAGGAAAACCCAGGAATGGGGATCCTTCCCTGCTAGATCCCTAGATTCTCCTCATCCAGGCCTGGCCCCCAGAAGTGGGGTGCAGCAGGCTCAGGGGACCAATACATCAAGGTCAAATCCCCCTGACCTGTGCCCTCAACTCCACTACAGCCCCAGCACAGCATCCCAGATGTGTTCATCTGGATGATGAGCAACAACAAGCGCATCGCCTATGCCCGGGTGCCATCCAAAGATCTGCTCTTTTCCATTGTAGAAGAGGAGCTGGGCAAGGACTGTGCCAAGGTCAAGACCCTCTTCCTCAAGGTGCTGCAGGGGCCTAGACTGGGGTGGGAGGAGCTGGGTTCTAGGGCTCCACTGAGTCTGGCAGGTCTAAGAGGAGGAGGTGGAACCCTCAATTAACAGATGTTCTGAGGACTGGAGCCCATCCTGCCCGACCTGCCTATCCCCCTCAGTTGCCCACCCTTACTTCTGCCCAGCAGGGTGGCTGTGAAGGGGCAGGTTCAGCTCCACCTAAGGTTTCCCCAACCCTGAGCCTGCTGATCTTCCACCCCGCCCCGCCCCCCAACCCTGTGGGACCTAGCAGTTGTCAGGCTCTTGGTGACTCTGAGCCTGCTCCCAGTTGCCAGGGAAGAGGGGCTTCGGCTCTGCAGGCTGGACAGTACAGGCCAAGCTAGAGCTCTACCTGTGGCTGGGCCTCAGCAAACAGCGAAAGGACTTCCTGTGTGGCCTGCCCTGTGGCTTCGAGGAGGTTAAGGCAGCCCAAGGCCTGGGCCTACACTCCTTCCCACCCATCAGCCTGGTCTACACCAGTGAGTGAGGACTCCTAGCCCGGTGGGCCACCCTCCTAGCCTGCACCCCAGAGGATCAGAGTGGCCGCATGGTACAAGTCTCAGTCCACTCTTCCCCACAGAGAAGCAGGCCTTCCAGCTCCGAGCCCATATGTACCAGGCCCGAAGCCTCTTTGCTGCTGACAGCAGTGGGCTCTCTGATCCCTTTGCCCGTGTCTTCTTCATCAACCAGAGTCAGTGCACAGAGGTAAGGACTTGGGGAAGAGAGGGCTCTTGCTTTGAGAGCACTAGGAGGCCAATATAACAAGTCTGCCAGTTCCCCAACTCAGAGAGAAGCCTTGCAGATAACCATAGGCCCAGGCTAGGCTGGTAAAGGCCACAGCTTTAACTGGGGCTAGATCCACAAAGCTTTGACAGGGCACTAGGACCAGATATCATATGAGCCTTGACTTTCAGATTTCTGGAAAAGTTGGAGAACCTGACATTCAGGGTTCCCTGAAGCCCCTGACTAGGAATAGTGTCTGTCACTTGTTCCCCATCTCTCAAACTCTGCTGCAGGTGCTGAATGAGACATTATGTCCCACTTGGGACCAGATGCTGGTATTTGACAATCTGGAGCTGTATGGTGAAGCTCATGAGTTGCGGGATGATCCCCCGATCATTGTCATTGAAATCTACGACCAGGATACTATGGTAAGGGTGGGCACTGGCACTGGGGACCTCTAGCAGGACCTTCCACTTCCTGGTTCCCCACACTCTAACTGCACTGAAGCCACCTCTCTAACCGTTCTTTAGCGCTGCATGCTGGGAAGCTGGGCTGCTGACCAGGCCCTCCAGGAGCCTCCTGTGTACCCACCACAGCCTGAACTTTTTCCAGCACTATGAGCCTCTGGGATATTGGGAGCCAGGCCATGGTGTCTTTACCTCTTGCATAAACACACTGAGCCCAGTGTTTTCCAGACATGGGACAGCAAAGTCCTGCTGTCACCAACCTTCCCACCCCAAAGCCCTGATCCCTGCCCACACTCGTCACAGTCTGTAGCAATCGCGCTGTTTTCCATGGAGGATTCTGGAGGGTGAAAGAAAAATCAGGACAATTCCTTCATCAAGAAGTACCAGTTCCTCCTGCAAACCAGCTCAGCTGTTGGGGTACCCAAGGGAACTCTAGATTAGAGGTAGCAGGACATATTTCTAGTCCTGAGTCCTGCATCTACCATTCATGGCCTAGCCTTGACCAAGCTTTGAAAGGCCCTTGAGACTTTATTTTCCTCATCTGTAAAATGATGTGATGAATGAAATCAAAGGTGTGAACATTTTTGGAAAACAGCAGGTGCAAGAAGCCCACCTGAGTGTTTTGTTGTGTCAGGGCAAAGCTGACTTCATGGGCCGGACCTTTGCCAAGCCATTGGTGAAGATGGCAGATGAGGCATACTGCCCACCCCACTTCCCACCCCAGCTGGAGTACTACCAGATCTACCGAGGCAATGCCACAGCTGGAGACCTACTGGCTGCCTTTGAGCTACTACAGGTGAGTGACAAGCAAGGCGGCCCTAGTCTTGGGAACCAGAGCTGACAGCAGGTCCTCAGGGACCCTGTACTGTCTGCCCTGCCTGTCTCTGATCGTGTGACACCAACTCATGGGGAAAAGACTCATTCTCCCTGGGTTCCCCACTGTGACCATGACCTCACTCCTCAGATTGGACCAGCAGGGAAGGCTGACCTTCCACCCATCAATGGCCCAGTGGACATGGACAGAGGGCCCATCATGCCTGTGCCTGTAGGAATCCGACCAGTGCTCAGCAAGTACCGAGTGGAGGTATGTGAGGGTCCTGTATACCTCCCTGGCCCTGCCCTGTGTCCTCTGCCCAAGCCCTCTGTTCCTCCCAGTTTCTATGAAGCACTCTCAAACTATTCAGTTCTCTGAGCTCACTTCTCAGTTTCATATAGGAGACTGAGGGCCCAAGAGTCAAGGGAACTTGCCTAAGGTCAACTTCAGGAGCCAACAGTATTAACCCAAGGCTCTCAACCCAGACTAGTGTCTACCTCCATCTGACAGAAACACCACTGTGTCCAGAGCCTTTCCCAGCCTTCTTGTATACGCCTGCCCCATGCCCTCCAAAGCCACCCTTCCCTCAAAGTCTCACCTCAGCTTTTTGAGGGCACCCATGCATTCTCCTGGCATTGTCTCTGCCCACTGGAATTTGTCTTCTCCCCACTACCCACCCTGCTGTTGATTCTCTCAAGTGACACTGCCCAGCCACCAGCAGCTCCCTCCACTGAGCCACCCTCCTTCCCAACCCTAGGTGCTGTTTTGGGGCCTTCGAGACTTGAAGAGAGTGAACCTGGCCCAGGTAGACCGACCGCGGGTAGACATCGAGTGTGCAGGGAAGGGAGTGCAGTCGTCCCTGATTCACAATTACAAGAAAAACCCCAACTTCAACACCTTGGTCAAATGGTTTGAAGTGGTGAGTGCAGGAGCTGGGAAAGCTGGGCAGGACTGAGTGTGGCCAGGGTAGTTCATCTTGGCTGGACTCCTCTACCCCTTTTTCTGAGACACAGACCACAGCATGCCATTGCCCCCCTCAGGACCTTCCAGAGAATGAGCTACTTCACCCGCCCTTGAACATCCGAGTAGTGGACTGCCGGGCCTTCGGCCGTTACACTCTGGTGGGTTCCCATGCTGTCAGCTCCCTCCGGCATTTCATCTACCGACCCCCAGACCGCTCGGCCCACAACTGGAACACCACAGGTATGGCCACCCAAAGCCCTGGCTCCACTGAGCTTCTGGAAGGACCCCAGCTTGCAGTATGGTGCAAGTAGCCATCAGGTCTCCCCTAGGGCATCTCTATGGATCAGTGGAGGAGGGAAGGAAGGCAAGCCACATTCTGGGAGCCAAAGAAGGCTTCTCAGGGCTGCCCTTAATTCCGGGCCCAGAGACGGCCAGCACTGGACGGGCCCTCATAGGGCTGAGGCAGATGGCCTCTTCTACTGGGTGATGGAGGACACCTGTCTCCTTCCTCTCCTGGGCCTAGAGTCCAGGCCTAATCTCTAGGTCTAGCCTCTGTTCTGCTGTTTGGCTTCACAATGCCCCATCCTTCTCTTTAGCTCATTTTCCCTTCCTTAAGCCCATCTTGTTCCTGTGGCTGCCCCATTCCTCCTCTGCCCTCAGAAAGCTCCAGAATCTTCTGTAGGCCCCGTTCTTCCTGCCTTCCTGCTTCTCACTGTGTCCTTCTCTTCTGTCTGCCTGTCTGTCTGTCCCTCTGTCCAGTCAAGCTTCTCCGGGGCTGCCACATGCTGTGCAATGGGGGTCCCTCCTTTCGCCTTACAGGGGAGGTCGTCATGAGCATGGAACCCGAGGTGCCCGTCAAGAAGCTGGAGACGATGGTGAAGCTGGATGCGGTAAGACAAGTGGCCAGCCCCATGCTGGGAGCCAGGCAGACCTGTCCCAAGAGTTCAACACTAAGTTACTCCTCTTTTTTACGACTTCTACGTTTTACTTTATTTTGCACATAACGAAAACCAACTGAGTAAGCAGTTTATGAACTATTGGTGTTCAGCAATCAAGAAGGATATGAGGAAACTTTCATTTCTTCCCACAGTGTTACAGAAACTCATAACACAACACACTGGTTTTCAACAGAGAGCCCTAGTAACAAGGATGGATGAGTACTGAAGATCCACAGGAGTCGGACAGGGAATAGTTCAGGAAGCTTGAATCTATCCAAGTAGCTCTTCTGCCCACTTCCAGGCACAACACTTCTAATTCTGAAGTGGCTAATCCATGTGGAGAAATCCTGGCAAATTTTTCAAATACATCTGCCCAGCTGTTTCATAGGGCATCGCACAAGCCATGCCCAGGCTCAAATTCTGTACAGAAGGTTCCCATTGCTGTCAAAGGAATCCGACCCCTCTGTACTACTTTGTTGCTAAAGTTCTGGTCACCTGGCTCCCCTACTTTCAACTCTTCCAGCTTCTCATCATGTGGCAACCTATCATTGTTAGCTCCTCTGGTGGCCTCAAAATCAAGCTACTCCTCTTTTTAAGTGACATTGTCAAGAGCCAACTTTATCATATGGACTGACAACTCCATTTTAACATTGTCCTGGTGTGTGTGTGTGTGTGTGTGTGTGTGTGTGTGTGTGTGTATACATGCACGCTCTATGTGTTGCACATGTGTGCACACACGTGTGCATAAGCAGGTGGTGTGTATGTGTAAGAAACAGAGCAGTAACTGTTGGAGGTGAAAGCCTCCAGTATTTTACAATCTTGAAATGACCCCTAGGAGACAGACTGCTTGTGAGAACAGTGTGTCCTGCCAAAGGGCCATTTTCCATGTCAAGTGACACCCTGTAGGCCTGGAGTGGGGAAAGATTTCCAGAGGGGAAATTCTGTTTCTCTAGCTTTAAGACTAGAGCTGTTTACCTGCCAGAGGAAGACCTGCAGGGGAGGGCAGGATAGGGCCATCCTGGAGCCTGTCCCCCTGAGGTCCAGTCTCTGTTCAGTGCCACAAGGGGACTTCCAGCCACATTCTCAACCTCTTAGTCTCCACATGACCTGTTTCACAGAGCCTGTGGCATCTTCTAGCTTCTGAGTCCCAATATGAAATGACCTTCCTTTGACCCTTGACTGGAATTGCCTAGTCAGAGGGTAGAGTTAAGTCTGCCCATGGTCTCAGAAAAGGGCAGCAAGAGAGGCCTGCTCCTTTGGTCCTGGGTGGTGTCGCCCAGAAAGCTTGATACTCAATTACTCAGTGGTTTTGAATACACTGCTGCCCAGCTCCCTACCCCCACCAAGGATTGTTCACAAAAGCTCCCAGATGATGCTAAGGTGCAGTCAGAACCCTACAAACCTGAGAAAACAGAAGCAGCCTTGATCAGGCCCTTAGCAGCCTTACCAGGAAGCCTGCTCTTATGTGAAACCTGCCTTTTGGTCAAAGGCAAGGAGCTCCATCACACAATGAGCATAGGTTCCTGCATGTGGCTCCCATCCTTGTCCTTCTCACTTTCTGGACTGGCTTCCTGCATGCTCCTTCAGGCCCCAGTGGCTAACCCTGTCCTCTCTCCTTGGTTCCTCCCTCTGCAGACTTCCGATGCTGTTGTCAAGGTGGATGTGGTGAGTGTGGGAGCTAGGAAAGGGCCCTGGCCTGAGAACAGGGCCCACTGGCACCTGTTCTCAGACCGGAGGGCCTACCTCAGTAACCTTAACCATCCTTCCCTCTGAGTGCCAATCCTGCCTTGGCCTGTGGCTCATGATGGCAGGTCATTGCTCTTGTGGGGCCATGGTGTCCTCCTCCACACAAGGCCCTACCTCCATGGCATTGGTGGCCCTACAGTGCATCATAGGGCTCAGAGCTTTCTGAGTGGGTAGGGATTGTTCATGGTCTTGGGAAAGAGCAGAAAGTAGACAGCCCATAGGATGGCTGACCTGGCCAACCCCCAGGCTGAGGAGGAGAAGGAGAGGAAGAAGAAGAAGAAAAAAGGCACCTCAGAAGAGCCAGAGGAAGAGGAGCCAGATGAGAGCATGCTGGACTGGTGGTCCAAGTACTTTGCTTCCATCGACACCATGAAGGAGGTGAGACCAGGGATAGATGGGGATGAGAAGGCATGGGGCTGCACATGACCCAGCTCCACACCACACTCTCCTATCTAACTCCTTCTCCACCTCACTCCCAGAACCAGTTTCTTGTTTCCATACCCTTGAAGTCTCCCCTCAGAAGGTGGGCAGGCTCACCTTCCTGGCTTGGTCTCCTCTGGTCAGTCATGTGTTCCACAAACATCTCTGGCATCTACATGATGAGCCAGACACCATTCTAGATATTGAGAGAGCTCAAAGATAGGATGCCACACATGCCTTGAGAAGTCCCAGTCTACTGGGCAAAATGCATGTATGAACAGATGGTTAAAGGTACCCTTGGCTAAGCAAGACAAATTAAGTCTGGGGACTCAGGGAAGCCCCTTCATCTTTTGACAGCAACTTCGACAACATGAAGCCTTTGGAATTGACCTGGAAGAGAAGGAAGAAATGGACAATACTGAGGGTGAGCCCTTGCCCCCTGGTCCCTTGGAACCATGATACTCTGATGCCACTCCCCAGCCCTGGCCTAAGTTCCAAGGATCAAGCTAAAGCCCTAATCTAAAGAAGTTTCCACTCTGACCAATTCAGCAACAACAGCAGCAGGTAGACATGTAGAGCTACAGAATGTTAGAGCTAGAAGGGTCTTCCTAGCTTATCTACCTAGGATTTTCCAGAACCTTTTCCATGAAACAATATTAATGGCTATTCCAGAGAGAAGAAAGGATTCCATTGGCAGATCAATTTAGGAAATACTGGCTTAAGCAGGTTTTGTTTGGTGCATGACTTCTCAGATCCTTTAATGTGTAAATTTTAGAATTGATTACTTGCACATACAATGTGTGTGTGTGCAATGTGTGTGTGTGTATATGTGCACATTTGTGTGAGTGAATGTGAGTACCCACATGCCATGGTATACATGTGGCATTCAGAGATCAACCTCAGGTGTCAGTCCTCACCTTCTACCTTGTTTGAGACAGGGTTTCACCACCATCACATACACTAGGCTACCTGGCCTGTGAGTTTCTAGGGAGTCTCCTGTCTCCACCTCTTATCCCCCCATAGGAGCTCTGGGATTACAGATGCCTGTGCTATGCATCCGGCTTCAAATGGGTTCAATCTCAGGTCCTTCCACTTGCATGGCAAGCTCTTTTACCCACTGAGCCATTTCCCCAAGTCCAGATGTTAGTATCAATTTCTACAAGACACTATAGGAACTATTCCCTCCATTCTTCTAAGTGTGCCAGATAGCACTTACGCCTGCTATTCCACTGGTTGATGATTAGGAAATGCTAATAGGGAATGACCTTGCTAATACTACAGACAAATGGAGTGTGCCTAGAGGGGAAAGGGAGTGGACACAGGACTGCATAGTGACAGGCCTCTGACTCTAACCCAACTCCTTCCTCACCTGCTCTCCTGCTGAAGGGTAGACAGCAGTTTATTTCCCCATCAGGCATAGCCTGCTGTCTGCTTCTCCCCATGGAGTGCAGTGAGACTCAGAAGTTAGACAGAAAGAGCGGTAAAGCTGGGTCTCAAACGTCAGCTTTCTTGCTCTGACCACTTCTGCCCTACATCCCCCTAAGCTGACTGGGGCTTCCTTTCCTACTCTGGACCAGGCCTGAAGGGGCCAATGAAGGGCAAAGAGAAGTCCAGGGCTGCAAAGGAGGAGAAAAAGAAGAGAAACCAGAGTCCTGGCCCTGGCCCTGGGCATGGGTCAGAGGCCCCTGAGAAAAAGAAAGCCAAAATTGATGAGCTTAAGGTGAGGTTCTGGGAACAGACCCTGCCCAGGTTTGGGGTGGGAGGCAGCAGATGAGGCAGGACACTGGCTGCAAGTCTGGCAGCCTGCCCTGCTAGGTGTACCCCAAAGAGCTGGAGACAGAGTTCGACAACTTTGAGGACTGGCTGCACACCTTCAACTTGTTGCGGGGCAAGACAGGAGATGATGAGGATGGCTCTACAGAGGAGGAACGCATCGTGGGTCGGTTCAAGGTCAGGCAAGGAGCATGGCCCAGATGTTCAGCCCCCACCATCACCTGTTCTCTCCCTGTACCCTAACATTGCTGTCAAGAACCCCTGGCCCTCCCATGATCCAGCAGCTAAAAAGGTTAAGACCCTGCCACAGCATAGTACAGACCACTCAGTGCTGTTGGCTACTTGGAACGCCACTCCTAACCTGCAGCCTGACCCCCTTGCCTCCCAGGGCTCCCTCTGCGTATACAAAGTACCACTTCCAGAAGATGTATCCCGAGAAGCTGGCTATGACCCCACCTACGGAATGTTCCAGGGTATCCCAAGCAATGACCCTATCAACGTGCTAGTCCGAGTTTATGTGGTCCGGGTGAGCTTCCCTTCACATCTACTTCCTGAAAGTCTCCTGGGCTTCCTGCCAGAGGGACTGAAGTAGCTGTGAGAGATCAGAGAAGTCCACTGGTCTAGCCTTGTCTTTTCTAAAGGAGATCAAGTCCCAGCAACAAGGGGAAGCAGCTTCCTTAGGACCACATCCTAAGGCTCCTGTTTCTGACCCAATGCCCCATCCCCACTTTAACATCACGGGACCCACAGGGACAGGGACAGGGACAGGGCACCCATGAGTCTGCTTAGGCTATACTCGCCCTGCCCAGGCCACTGATCTGCACCCAGCTGACATCAACGGCAAGGCTGATCCCTACATTGCCATCAAGCTAGGCAAGACCGATATCCGTGACAAGGAGAACTACATCTCCAAGCAACTCAACCCTGTCTTTGGGAAGTAAGGCCTCATGGTACTCTCGGCCCACCATGACTCTCAGCCCAGACCCCATCCACTGCCCACCAAAACCTGAAACCTCTTTCCCAACCCCTACCTGGCAGGTCCTTTGATATTGAGGCCTCCTTCCCTATGGAATCCATGCTGACTGTGGCTGTGTACGACTGGGATCTGGTGGGCACTGATGACCTCATTGGAGAAACCAAGATCGACCTGGAAAACCGCTTCTATAGCAAACACCGGGCCACCTGCGGCATTGCACAGACCTATTCCATGTGTGAAGGCAGAGTGGGACCAGTGGCTGGGAAGGGCTGAGGACAAAGTGGAGGGCAGGGTGGGTGACGGGCAGGGTTTGAGGAAGGGGCTGGATGCCTGCTGCACCTCAACACTAGGATGACTCAGAAGTGAGATTTGGGAAGGAAGACGAATTAGGATTTCTGTTCTGGATTATGCCTTCACCCCACAGACTCTGAGCACAGCCTTCAGGGACCAGGACTGAATATTCCAAGACAGAGAGGGGACCTGGGGATTCCAGGACAAAGGAGGCAAGACAAGGAAAGAAGGGGGCATGAGGCAGGACAGCCAAGAGGGGATGGAGTCCTCTGAGGATCCTGGTACCTCTCCTACTTACAGGCTGAGCAGTCCTGGTCAGGTCCCTTAACCTCTTTGGTTATCAGTCTTTGAGGGGTGATGGTATGGTAATTGGGAGGGGCACTGAATATGAGGTCCAAAGCCAAGGTAGACGGGTCAGCCTTTAGCAGCCATAGTGTCTTTGGTGAACCTGGAACTCCAGGATGCCTGCAGCTGACATAGACAATGACCAGTTGTGGAAAACTGGCTGGAAAGAGCTACCACTTGGGATGACCAAGCCTGAGTCCCTTTAATTCTGTGTGCCCCCTCCCACAGACATGGCTATAATATCTGGAGGGACCCCATGAAGCCCAGCCAGATCCTGACCCGCCTCTGCAAAGAGGGCAAAGTGGATGGCCCCCACTTTGGTCCCCATGGGAGAGTAAAGGTTGCCAACTGTGTCTTCACTGGGCCCTCAGAGATCGAAGATGAGAATGGTAAATTGGGCTAGCCAACTCGCCCCACTCTAGGGGCTTCAGAAACCATCAAGGACCCACACTTCCTCTAGGGGACCTCCAGATCCAGTGTACATGTCCTTAGACTAAGCCCTAGTGACCTTCTGCTCCATACCCCAGAGTCCCCTTCCTGTCTGACCAGACATTGCCCTGCTATGCTCTTGGTACCATGCTTTCCCACTCACTGCCCTCTCTCCCTTTCATCTCCATGGGCCAGGGAGGTATCCCATTCTACAGATAAGCAAACTGAGACCCAACAAGTTCTAGTTCAGTGACTTGCTCAAGGTCACATGTCCCTCCTGAGGCACATGATGGTGTGAACCCACCTCTCTCCAGCTCCAGACCCTACCCCCACCCACCCTTATTCCTCTCTACCCATGATGCAATTCCCAGAGGCTCAAGGAGTTTCTGTGTTAGGGAACTTAACTCTAGTACTGAAACAGAAGTGAGTTCTCCTGTCCTTGTACCCTCTCACAGCCCATCAGGGTTTTCTGTTCAGCTTCCCCAAGCCTGGGAAGCCAAAGTCATAAGTCCCTCTGGGCAGCCAGGACCTTGACCAAGCCACTTCTCCCACTGTGCCTCAGTTTACTCAACAGTAAAATGGAGATAGGGTGAGCAAGTCATGACTGAAGGGTCTATACTCCTAAGATATAGATCCTTGATCCCTGCCCCTAGCACAAGTCCCCAGGTTCTGGAAACCCCATGTGTGTGCATCTGTTCCATTGGTACCCACAGGTCAGAGGAAGCCCACAGATGAGCATGTGGCACTGTCTGCTCTGAGGCATTGGGAAGACATCCCCCGTGTGGGCTGCCGCCTGGTGCCTGAACATGTGGAGACCAGGCCATTGCTCAACCCCGACAAGCCAGGCATTGAGCAGGTGACACTCACCTACCTGGGATCTGGGGTTAGAGATTCTCAATCTGGAACCATAAAGATAGAAACAGGGCTCATGTTATTCCCTGTATTCTTGCTGTATTCCTGTGCCCAAAAGTCTGACAGGCACTTCCCCACCAAGGCCAACTTGAACGGCAAATGTCTGTTCTGAGAATCATCATATCAGAGAAATGACTCCCTCAGGAGCTGTCATTGACTGTTGGTGACATTATAAGAATTCCTGACTTCCAGTACTAGAAACTGATGACATGGAGTTTTGGAATGGCCAAGAGGGTACACCTTCCTGGGCAGAGGGAAAAGTCACTGAGACATCTGCCACACTCTTCTTCTCTTCCTCAGGGTCGTCTGGAGCTATGGGTAGACATGTTCCCCATGGACATGCCAGCTCCTGGGACACCTGTGGACATCTCTCCCAGGAAGCCCAAGAAGTGAGTTGCCCCAGGGGTGGGCAATACTCCCTCATCTCACCCCATCTACTTCCCACCACAACGTAGTCCTTCCCACAGCAGGTACACACCCAAGTGACCTAGATTAGTCACCATTTCCTGGGCCTCAGGTATGGCCAGGCCCCTCAGGTGTGGCCAGGCCCCATGAGTTGTGGGGCCTGCTCTAGGTGGGTCCCCATCTGCTCTACCCACAGTGAAAGAGATGAGCCACGCCCCAGCACCCTCCAGCACATGCAAACCCCCTCACAAATACAAATCCACACATAGACTATTCACACCCACCTATGCTCACACAGCACGTGCATGCCCCCAGGTACACGGGAAGCAGAACCTCCCAGAGCTGGCTCTACACCCCATCACTACATCCTACCAGCTTTTCTTTCAGGAGTTCACAGTGATGGTGTAGGCAGGGGAGTGCCTGAAAGAGGTGGGAGGTGGTAAGTGGGAGTTCCAAGTCACTCTTACCTGGTTGATCCTGGCCCCTGGTCTTCAGTTTTCCCCTTAATAAGGTGGCAGGGTGGTCACTGAGGTTCCCATACCTCAGTGCCTGGATTTAGGCTAAGTACCTAGACATACAAAGCAGTTTTCCCATTTTCAAGCCCTAATGTTGCCACCTTCAATGTTTACATGTCTCGTTCCCACCTCTCACCTCCAGCAGTACTGAGGATTGAAGTTTGGGATTCATGCATGCTAGGCAAGCACTCTACCACTGAGATACACCCCAGGCCCTTACTTCATGATGATTTTTAACCAGGTGGCCCTGTATTCTCATTTTGCTTTGGCCACAAATGATGCAGCCTCCTCAACTATGTGTAGCCTAGGAGCCTGAGGCTGGGAGCCTGCTGTTCTAAAGTTTACCACAAGGTGGCAGCCCACACCAACGGATCACCCTGGGGGGGCAGTCCAAGGCTCTGTTTTTGTTAATTTCAGTGAGCTGCATTCCCATGCATCTTGAGTGGGTGACTCAACCTTACTCCTAAAGGTTGAAACTTAATTACCTCATTCTAATTACAATTAAAACACAAGGGCAAAAATCCTCTTTAGGAACAAGAATGTATAGGAAACCTGAGTCCACTGCAGGCTACTGGACTTAACTAGAATTTCTCAAAAGTGGAGAAAAGCACTGGACTCTAGAGACAAACAGACCAGACAAGGTGCTCCTGACTGCACTTCATCTCAATCAGCCCCAGCAGCACACTCTCCTCTCCTTTCTCCTTGTTCTCAGTCTTATAGTCCAAGATTGTATCCACTCGACTCTGACTGGCTCTCCCCTAGTAGGGGCAGGCTGTGCCTGACTAAGATCTGGCCCACCTGTCCCCTACTGGACAGAACCCTTCCTCTAGCCTCCACCTACTATCCCAGCCTCCTACTCACCCAAGTCCCCAGGGCTTCTCTTGCTGAGGCATCTAGAGCCCCCTACCATGTCCCAGCCCCAGGACCTAGAACAAGCCCTGCCCAGGCTGCTAATGACCGCCTCCCCCACCCCGACCCACCCAGGTATGAGTTGCGGGTCATCGTGTGGAACACAGACGAGGTGGTCCTGGAAGATGACGACTTCTTCACTGGGGAGAAGTCCAGTGATATTTTTGTGCGGGGGTGGGTTCCTTCCCTGGGAGAGGCTGAGTTGGGCATGCCCACTTTCCTGGGAGAAAGGATAGGGGAGACCCATGGTGGGGTGATGCCCTTGGGATATGACCACAGAGCTGGAGCCTGTGGTGCCCAGCAGGTGGCTCAAGGGCCAGCAGGAGGACAAGCAGGACACAGATGTCCACTACCATTCCCTCACTGGTGAGGGCAACTTTAACTGGCGCTACCTGTTCCCCTTCGACTACCTGGCGGCTGAGGAGAAAATTGTCATGTCCAAGAAGGAGTCTATGTTCTCTTGGGATGAGACAGAGTACAAGATCCCTGCACGGCTCACACTACAGATCTGGGATGCTGACCACTTCTCTGCTGACGACTTCCTGGGTGCAGATCTGAGCGGGGCCTAGGTCACAGAACTGAGGGGCATGGGATGGGGTAGATTGAGACCACGGGGGGGGGGGCACCTACCTAATCCCCAGAGCCAAGGATACCAGAAGGAGATCTTGCCCCTCCAAGAATCTGTGCTGTACCTGGAGCAACAAGGTCCTCTGGGCACACCAGGGAGAAGAGGGCAAATGCTGATAGGGGATCAGCAAGGGCCTCTATGGGAGATGGTTCCCTGGGTCTCAGATTGTGCCGCTGTGCAGAAAGGTCCTTCTTAAACTTTACACCGCAAGCTTGAGTTTAGCAGGGCTTTATCAGTAGATGCACAGCAGCCAGGGTGAAGGTGGCAGATACCAGGAGAGAACACTCTAAGCTAAAGGAAAGGCCTGAGCAAGATGAGGTAAGGGTGGAAAGAGAGACAAGAGACTGGAGGAGCCCCCACTCAGCAAACCAGAGGCCAGAGGCCCTGCCCCGCCATGTTCACCCAGAACTGATTCTAAGGTTGCCACAGGGGCCATCGAGCTGGACCTGAACCGGTTCCCACGGGGTGCCAAGACAGCCAAGCAATGTACCATGGAGATGGCCACAGGGGAGGTGGACGTGCCCTTGGTTTCCATCTTTAAACAGAAACGCGTGAAAGGCTGGTGGCCCCTCCTGGCCCGCAATGAGAATGATGAGTTTGAGCTTACGGTGGGTACTGCCTCCTGCTAGAGAACGGGTCAAGCTGGATCAGGTTGAGCCAGACTGGGCCAGGCCAGCATGCCGAGGGCCCAGCACCTAGCCCAGATAGTGGAACCTTTCTGTCCTTTCCTCCAGGGCAAAGTAGAGGCAGAGCTACACTTACTAACAGCAGAGGAAGCAGAGAAGAATCCAGTGGGCCTGGCCCGCAATGAACCTGATCCCCTAGAGAAACCCAAGTGAGTGCCCTGCCTGCCTAGACCCATAGCGACACTGTTTCATGGGGAGCAGAACAGGAAAGAGGAGCCTGAACCTTCTAGTCTTCTTGCCCTCTTTCCTCAGGCACCCATTCTGTCACTCTGTCCCTTCCTGGGCCACAACCTTATCACAAGGGAGCCCCATTCTTCAACCTTGAATCCTTCCTCTTCCCTCAGAACCAAAGGAAGAACAGTCCCTATAGGGAAACTTCCTTTCCCAGAAAAGCCTCTGCCCAGCAGAGATATGGGCTCTTTCTAGTTTCTGACAAATTAAAGCTATTGCAATGGTGGCCTTGGAGCCCTGACCAGACATGGTGGCCCAGCAGGCGCCAGGAACGCCACTACTCTGCAGGTGGGCTTCCCCCGCTTGCTGGTGGAGGCCTCTCACCAAGCCGTCCCTACCTCTGTCCTTTCTATGATCCCCCTGCTCTTCCTGATGCTCCAGCCGGCCTGACACCAGCTTCATCTGGTTCTTGAACCCTCTCAAGTCTGCTCACTACTTCCTGTGGCACACCTACCGCTGGCTGCTCCTCAAGCTCCTGCTGCTCCTGCTCCTGCTGCTCCTGCTCGCCCTGTTTCTCTACTCTCTGCCTGGCTACCTGGCCAAGAAGATCCTCGGGGCCTAAGCCCCATAGCCTCCTGGGCCTGGTACTTCTGCCTCTGGACCAAGGGCTGGCAGCATGTGGAACACACTCAAAACACACATACACATACAAGAGCAGACATGCACACAGTGCACACACATATGCACAGTAGCATACACACATGAACACAAGCACACATATGCTTCCACATAAATATACATGACAACTTTCAAATTTTCAAAATATAATCATATATTCTCAGAACTAGGAGATATATAGATGATTAGATATAGATATATAGATCCTCAGCTGGTCTGGACTCACTATGGAGACCAGGTGAGCCTCAATCTCACAGAGATCCACCTGCCTCTGCCTCCTGAGTGCTAGGATTAAAGGTGTGTGCCACTACACCTGGCTATTTACATATTTTTATTTCTATTGTATGAGTGTTTTGCCTGCATGTACATGAGTGCACCACATTCGTGAAAACCCAAAGAGGCCAGAAGAGGGTGTCAGATTCCCTGGGACTGAACTTAGGTTGTTAGCTAACATGTGTTGCTGGGAACCAAACTTAAGTCCTCTAGAAGAGCAGTTAGTGCTCTTCACCAATAAGCTACTGATTGTTTGGGTTTGGGGTTTGTTTTTTTTTTAATCTTTTTTTGAGACAGGATCTCCTTGTAGCCCCAGCTAGCCTGGAATTCGTTATGTAGACCAGGCTGGCCTCGATCTCACAGAGATCCACTTGCCTTTGCCTCCTGGGTGGTAGAATTAAAGGCATGTGCCACCATGCCTGGCTTATATTTTCATATTTATTAGACCAGTGAGGTGAAGTAGCTTATCCAAGGCAACCTGACTGGGTGGCAAACTACCATTTTTACCAGTGTCACCAACTACAGCAGCATTTTTCACAGACTACTCCAATTCCATTGGTGGAAGTTGAGCTATGAGCAGGGAAGAGGGAAAGGGCTTGGCTAGCATTAGCCAGCTTGTCCTGAAATAGTTCCTCCTGTTGTGAGGCCTGTCTCAAAAAGAAGGAAGGAAAGAAGCAACAAAGGGAGGGAAGGAGGGAGGGAGGGAGGGAGGAAGGAAGGAAGGAAGGAAGGAAAAGAAGGAAGGCAGGCATCAAGCAACTCTGATCGGAGAATGTGGGGAGGCAGGAGTCTATACAATGAACAAAGTGCAGGAGTTGTAGAAGGACCTGTATGAATGGCCATACCAAGGCCTCTGCTTCAGCTTGTGAACTACCCATCACTGCAAGCATTCAGGTTGAGGCTGGATGGCCATGCCAAAACTGCATGAGCAGGGGTGGAGCAGCAGGGATCCAGAGGTCCCACAAAGAGGAGAGAAGATGGGACCTAGAAGCCAACAATCTGGTACTAGATACATCTTCACTCTGGCTCTAGCACTCACTGCCTTTAGAAGGACAGAGAGATGTGAGCCCTGCAGGGGGGGAAGCTCATGCCTGTTGTCTGACCAGACCCTTCCATCCTCCCTCCCCAGCCGCCCTGACACAGCCTTCGTCTGGTTCCTGAATCCACTTAAGTCCATAAAGTACCTCATTTGCACCCGGTACAAGTGGCTCATCATCAAGATCGTGTTGGCGCTGCTGGGACTGCTCATGCTGGCCCTCTTCCTCTATAGCCTCCCGGGCTACATGGTCAAGAAGCTCCTAGGTGCATGAAGCCCTCCCAACACCCTGTACCTGTCCAGGGTCTGCTGTGTTTACCTTCCCTTGGCCTGGACTCTTTCCCAACTCCCTTAGGAGCCCCAAGAGCCCACCCCCACCATGAAAGCTTTGGATAAGGCACCTGCTTCCTGCTTGCTGGGCTGCCATCCCCTCCCCTGAGACTGTTGCTTGCTTAGTCTTGCCCCAGTCCTGCCTATAGGTTGGGAAGGGGTGAGGTCCAAGAGCAGGTCGCCTCTTGCCCCATCTTGCTGAGGTACCACCTTCCTCAGTGCCCACTTCCAATGAAAGTGGCCCCAATCTTCCCTGGGGCCTTCCAAATCTTGGTTTAAAACTCTAAGGAAATTAGCCAAGGAACATGGGCCAGTGCCCAAGGGTTTGAAAAGAATGAACAAGCAGAAAGCACTACCACCCATTTGCAACAGAAATGCAGAGGCAGCACTGTTCTGCTTTGCCTGAGCCCCGAGGCTGAGGCAGCTGGCTGCTTTCTTGCACATGTTCTCCTGGCTCTTCCTCCTTCCCACAGCCGGTTAGCAGGTGCATAACCTGTGGGTTCCCATCCTTCCCAGGGCCTCTGCCAGGGCCACTGTTGCCAGCCAGGACAGGAGCTCTGAAAATGAACCCCATGTCCGACCCTCCCTGGAGGCAGGCACAGTCAGAAGTCTACACTTAGAGTACTGTCCCCTGCTGCATCTGGGATTCTGTTAGCTGCTTTTCCTTTCATGAGTGTGATTTTTCTCTTAATAAAATAAATCAAACTCTGAGATGATAATCTGCATTGGTCTAGTGAGAGGAGAGTCACCGAAGTGGGGCACATGGCCGATGGGTCTTCTGGGGTAAAACTTTATCTTGTAGGTGCCTTCTTGTGGCTTCAGCACTCAAGGTAGGTCTCAGGCACAGGGTGACCTCCACAGCTCAGTGGGCATATCCATATTGTGGATCTAGAGGATCCCCAAAGCATGGAGAAAGTCCTTCAGTTTGGGGACAATCTGAAGGCTTATGGCTCCAAAGCTACAAGCTCCCACCCATAGAAACCAGCAGACCCAAGGGCAACATGGGAGCCCCATGTTGCTAGTTTCACCACAGTCTGGGCCCAAGGACAAACTTCCTTCATACCACACAGGTAGGGAAGAGGCCCTGTCTCAATAGACTCAACCTCTTTAAAGGCATTCAGCCTAAACTTTCAAAGACTTTAATTAAAACTGTGGGAACAGTTGTTGCCTTATTTGACAGGCTGGTACAGCTCAGGAAAACCCAGATTCAGCCCAAGTTCCTGGATGACAGGTAAGGTCTCTGACACTGCGGCCTTTGAAGATCCACTTCTATTTTGTTGGCATCTGGAAACCCTGAGTCGGAGGAATTTGCAGCTCAGAATTTACCTAGAAAAGAAGGGGTGAAGATCATTTCCTTCCCTGAGGGCCCTCTCTTCTTGGTTTCTGGAAGATCAATTACATAACATACATGGACTTTCCCAGAGTCTCCATCCCTTCATGCATTTTCTATCCATAGTAAGGACACCTCTGGGAGACTGGAGGATGTCAGATTTGCCTTTTGTCCAAAGCAAGCAAAGATTTCCTGTTTGGCTTCAGCTCTAGTTACTGACTTCTGGTAGCATGCTGACTCTTCCCCCATTCATTCCCTTAAAACCCTATCCCCCCCTTATACTCTCTACTGCATCTTAAGTCTAGCCTTACCCCTAGCCCTCATCCCCATACTCTTGTGCACAAAAGCATCCATGGAAACAGGCCATATGTCCCCAAAGGCCCAAGTTCCTGTTACAAGCCAAGAGACCAATCATGATGCCAAGGTTCACCCCATCCATCTTCTAGGTATAGCCTTGGACCTGAGACCAGGTTGATACCATACATCCCCTGTACTGGGACAAGGGGATAATGACTGTCATAACCCTCCTGGCCATGGGCTCAGTACCACATTGAAACATCCAACCCCAGCAAGAGAGTGCATGCAGCCATGTCAGAAGGATTTTTCCTTCCTCATCTGGTCAGGCCATGGGAAAGTGTTATAGCTCTTACTGGAAGGGGCCCATCTGCCAGCACAGCCTCTGCTCCCCACTCAAGGGGGATCCTCAATCATATTTTAGGCCAAGGAAGCTGGTCTGGCAAAGGGGAAGGAGCTGAGGGATTCGGGTGCCTCATCAAGTCTCCAAGTTTTGTTTCTTCTTGTGAGATGGCAGGACAGATTCAGCCAGGTTCCCTGGCAGGTGGTTGTGTGCAGTGCCCGCAGAGGCCAGAAGAGAGTGTTGGACCCCCTGGAACTGGAGTTACAGATAGTTGTTAGCTGCCATGTGGGTTCTAGGAATTGAACCTGGGTCCTCTGTAATAAGAACCAGTGCTCTTAACCACTGAGACATCTCTCCAATTCTGTACCCCCACACACACAAATTTGAAGTGATTCTAACAGCTGGCCATTGTACCTCATGTTTGTCATCCTAGCACTTGAGAGGCTTAAGGCAGAGAACTGCCATGAGTTCAAGAACCTGGGCTACATAAGTTAGTCCAAGGTGCCAGTTTGAACTACAGAGTGAGAGCCTATTTCAAAAAGGGGTGGAGGAGGCTGGAGAGATGGCTCAATGGTTAAAATAACTTGCTATTCTTTCAGAGGACCCAGGTTTGGTTCCCAGAACCCAAATGGCAGCTCACAACCATCTGCAATTCCAGTTCCAGGGAATCCAGCACCTTCTGACATAGAGAGATGATTGATTGATAGATGATAGATAGATAGATAGATAGATAGATAGATAGATAGATAGTATGTGTGTGTGTGTGTGTGTACAAGGCACACATGTGATAGTAGATAGATAGATAGATAGATAGATAGATAGATAGATAGATAGATGATAGATAGATAGATAGATAGATAGTAGATGATAGATTGTGTATGTGTGTGTGTGTGTGTGTACAAGGCACACATGTGACACATACACATTCATGTAATCACAACACTCATACACATAAAATAAATTTTAAAAAAGATGAGTCTAGGGATATAGCTTATTTGGTAGAGTACCTGCCTAGCAGGCACAAAGCCCCAGGTTCCATCCCCAACACTTCATAAACAAGGCATGGTGGGTGACACATGCCTATCAACCCAACATTCTGAGGTAGAGGCAAGATATTAAAAGTACAAGGCCATCCTCGGCTACATATCAAGTTGGAGGCTAGCCTGAGCTACATGAGCCCTTATCTCAAAACAAAATTAGAAACCAAAAGAGTGATTCCAACAGAATGGCGCCAAAACCACAGGCATTAGAGGGACACAGTTACAGCCTAGCTGTCCTGAGACAGGACTTCAGGCAACATCCACTGCCTTGTTACAAAGTGTCTCCTGAGGTGTGACTTCTCATCTTACACGGCATGCCTAAGCTTCCTGGCCATTGGGGGAGGAGCAGTGACCCGCCCCCACATCCCACCACTTGCCTTGGCTTGGAGATACTGCTGCAGGAGTGACTGCATCTCAACGTTCTGCTGCTCTAGAGAATTGTTTTCCATCAGCAGCTTGGCTCTCTGGGTTAGCACAAGGCTGGTGGTAAGGTATGGATAACAGGTTAGAGACCAACCAAAGTTTCCATCCTCTACTGAGGAGAAACCAGGACCCCTGTGTTTCTGCTCTGGCTGCAAGTGGAGGAAGTCTTGGGAGCTTCCCTTCTACCCAGGCTAGCCAGAACAGACAGGGAGAGTGGGACTAGAGCTACAGTCATTCCACACCATCCTACCACCCTCAGACTATGTGGGAACAGGAGGCACAAGCATGGTTCCGAGCAGGATTACAGATCACCAGTCTCCCTAGTCGTCCCAGTCTTGATGCTTACTAGTATTTTTCCAAGGCCTTGTACAGTGCATCCCAGAGGTTCTGCTTGGCAAAAGGGATAACCGTGGTCAGAGCCGACCAGTACTCAGAGTCCTTTGAGTTATCTTGCACATCTTTCTGCACTCTGGGTAGTGGCCGAGCCTCCCTGAAAGTCAACAGCATTAGTGCCACAATTTCTGCCTGACACCCCAGTCCTTCAGCAGTGCCAGTCACATTATGAAATCAGTTATACACTTGCTATTTTTCTTTTTAATTATATTTATTTGTGTGTACACACACAAGCACACATATGCATGTATGCTTATGCCACATCACATGTGTGGAGGCCAGAGGACAACTTGTGGGAGGAGTCAGTTCTCTCCTTCCACTACGTGGGTACTGGGGATCAAACTCATGTCATCAGGCTTGGTGGAAGTTCTCTTACTTGCTGAACCAGCACACTTGCTGCTTTTCTATCTGCTGCCTTTCCACTCAGCTATCCAAGCCTCTTAGAGTATTAGAAAGTACCTCTGCTTATCCCATGCTCCTGACTCCTGGGCCATTGCCACCTTTGTGAGCTTGTGGTTGAAGTTTCACTTACCCTCTTCTTTCCCCCAATTAATTTACTTTGGTGGCTCTGCAGTTCATTACTACATCTTTTTCTTCTGTGATTGCATCCAAACAGTTCTCATACTCTGTCACTCTCTCTCCATCCCCTCCATGATGGCCTTCATCCAGGACATTATCCCTTCTACCTGGACCAGCCTCCTGATTGCTCTCCCTATATCCAGCATCACACACGTACCCTTTCTAAATGCAAGCTTCCCTTGGCATTTAAAATCCTCTCCCACTCCAGCATTAGCAGAAAGATAAAGAATGTAGGCACTTGGGCAACACTCTCCAAAAGCTGGCCTGGCTCCCCAGATCCATGACACCTGCAGCCCCACCCAGGTCTGTGACACTCCAGTCAGGCATGATTCTTGAACATCCCAGGACTTTCCTTGCTGTTTACAGGTTGCAACACCCTTTCCTCTGCTCTAGGTGGGCATCATCTTCACAAAACCACCTCCACTATGCCAAATGGAAAGGACCATTTCCTTCTCTGAGTAATGCTGTATATCAGAATAGGCTCTTAATGTGGTTCTGATCACAAGCTGGGACCCAACATCCATCCCACGCATGGCACACACTCAGTGAGTACTTGTTGAATGAGTGTTGAATGATAAAAAGAGCAAATTACTCCTACACCCTGATTCTTTCATGCAGAGGTCCAGTGGTTTCCCAGGCTCATGTCCAGTAGCCTCCTCTTCACTCACTCTCCTCTGATTGGCTCCCAGCCTCCCAGCCCCAGGTCGCAGGCAAGCTCTATGGCACCACTGCATACTTGGGCTTCCTCAGCCCCTTGACAAAGGCTTCTAGGACCTTGAGGACATCGTTGGGGTGAATAAGCCTGGGTGAAGATGGGGTCTCCTTCTCTCTCAGCACCCTGCCCACAAGGCTCCCCTTGTTGCTTCCCTGGTGCTCCTCCTGCTCTTCGGGCTCCTGCTCTGATTTAGACACCGGGCTCCTTCGGTCCATTGTGCACACCAGGCTCAAGGTCTCCAATGCCGGCATCAGGCTTGTGCATTCTGTGTTGGCTTGACTAGAGGCACTGAACTGGAGAAAAACAGGGTGACTATGGGCTGAGAATACCCAAGCACATATGTGAAGAGAGATGGGAGGAGAAGGAAATGGAGCAAAGCTTTCAGAAAACTTGCAGGGAGAGACATTTGCATAAGGACAGAGAGGAGGAAGGAGAAAGAAGGAAGGATGATTGGGGAAAGGTGTACAAGGCTTTGCAATGACTATGCTCTGCTTCAAAATCCAGTTCACAGGTGTTCATTGCATTGACATTCAAAATGCTCAAGTGTTATAAATATACTTTTGAATCATAATATAAAACCAATGTTTTAATTTTTAAATTTAAGAAGCTTTCTTCCTATTCCTGTCCCCCAATTTATTCAGTTTACCTCCCACAGGCAAAGCCTCTTAAGCATCCTTCCACAGAAATGGGATGCCCACTAGAAAAAAGTTATTTTTGAAACAAGATCTTGTTCAATGTCCCAGGTTAGCATCAAACTTGTGATCCCCCTACCTCAGCTGCAGTAACAAATGCACACCACTGCATTCAGCTAAGAAATAGTATATCTCTATAAGTAAATACATATAAACTTTCTCTTTGTAATTTTTAAAAATATTTTATTATTTTTATTTTATGTGTATGCGTGTATTGCCTGAATGTATGTGTTGCACCCATGTCGTGCAATGTCACAAAGGTCAAAAGAGGCTGTCAGATCCCCTGGGACTGGAGCTATGGACAGTTGTTAGCTGCCATGTGGGTGCTGGGATTCAAACCCGGGTCTTCTGTCCCAGGTTCGAATCCCAGCACCACATGGCAGCTAACAGCCATCTGTAACTCCAGTTCCAGGGGACCCAATGGTCTCTTCTGTCCTCCACGGGCATTGCATGATACAGGTGCACTTACCTACATGCAGGCAATACATGCATACACATAAAATAAAAAATAATAATAAATAAAATATTTTAAAGTATAAATAAATTCCTTAAGCATGGACATTTGCATTGTTTCCAGACTTTTATTTCAAATAGTGCTACAATAAAAACTATAATAAAAATATCCTTTCAACTGCATTAAGCTGAGTATAGTGGCATATTCCTTAATCCCAGCACTTTGAAAGGCAGAGGCAGGAGGATCAGAAGTTCAAGGTCATCCTTGGCTACCCCAAGTTTGAGAAAAGTCTGGGTAACAAAAGACCTGACTCAAAAAGAAAAAGAAAAAGGGAAGACAGAATAAAAGAGATAAAGAGCCAGGTGTGGTGGTGCATGGTTTTAATCCCAGTATTCAGGAGGCAGAGGCAGGAGAATATCTGTGAAACTGAGGCCAGCCTGATCTACATAATGAGTTCCAGGCCAGCTGGGGCTACAGGGAGAGACCCTGTCAAAAAAAAAAAGTCTACAGGACAAAATTCTAAAAGAACTGCAGAGTAAAGTATATACACTTTTATGACTGATACTGTCAAATTGTCCTCACTGAAGGTAACAACAATTACACTCCTGCCTGTGAGTTATGAGTATATCTATATAAACGCATCAATTATTACTATGCTACCAAACATTCAGATTGTTGTCACTCTGTTAGGCAAAAATAGAATTTAGGTAGTTGTGATTAGCACTTTTTTTCTTACAAGGAAGGCTGATCATCTTTTAATATGTTTAAAAGCTACCTGTACTAGTCCAGGTGGTGCACACTTGTAACCCCAGACTGAGAATGGTAAGGGAGAAGACTTTATTTGAGGCCAGCCTGAGCTCTGGAGCAAAACTGTCAAAAACAAGTAAAATAATAATAAATTTTAAAATTAAAAATCTGATTTTAGTGGAAGAGAAACCATAGGACGGAAGCGTCTGGGGACTAGGCTGTGGCCGCAGAGTGTCCTGACCTGCACGAATCTAGGAGCTGAGATCAAACAAATGGCTCCAGAGCCTAAAAGACACTATCATAGAGATAAGTGAGGTGAATGGGGAGTGAGCTTGCTGGCTACCCCAGTACCTGAGAGACTCTCTGTCCCCCCAACAGCTGTGGTGTATGTGGAAGAGACCAGTATGGCCAGGTGGTGGCCCTGCAACCTGGAGCTGATAGACAGTGGCTTCTATGACTCCAGCCTGAGACAGCCCCAGCTATGCTCGGAATCTTTATTTATTTTAACTATTTCTTCAGCATTCCACATTTGATGATGCACATACCTCTTTCTTCCCTGAGTGTAAATGTTCTAATACAGATCTTTTTGTTTATTGTAAAAGAAAAAAAAATCTATAGTTACCTATACTGCCTCTTATAGGAGCTATTCCTTCATGCTTAGCTTCTATGTCTTAAGTTACTTTTTTGTCTTACTGGTTTATGAGAGCTCTTTGTATATTAAGGAAACTAGTCCTTAACTGTGATATGAATTGAAAATATTCTTCCCCAGATATCATTTGTCTTTTAAGATCTTCCTGCCTCTACCTCCCAAGTACTAGGATTAAAGGCCTACACCACCATTACAGTTTATGTGGCACTGTGGATCAAACCCAGGGCTTCATTCATGTTAGGCAAGTACCTACCAACTGAGCTACAACCCCAACCCTTACCTACTCTCTTTCTGAAGGCCTATCATGGTCCTTACTCTGGGGCTAGCAATATTAAAAACATTTTTATTTAAATTTTTATTTTTAAATTAAAATCTTGTAATTTTTTTAAAAATATGACTCCCCAGCATGGTTGATATTTGAATCTCACACTGAATTATTTATAATAAAGATATGTATAGTATTACAAACGAGAGTGTGATGAATCAAAACACATAGACTGTGGTATACTCGGATTTCACAGTAACTAAAACCTGGCTTTGAGGAAAGCCCAGGAAAAGAGGCCTTGGGCCTCAATATAGAACAATATCTCGGGGCTGGAGAGATGGCTCCGTGGTTAAGGGCACTGGCTTCTCTTGCAGAGGACCTGGTACTGGTCCCAGCACCCACACAGAGGCTCACAATTGTCTGTAACTCCAAATCCAGGGGCTCCTATGTCCTCTTCTGGCCTCTGTGGGCTCACATAAACACACACATATACCCATAAAAATAATTTTAAAATAAATTTTAAAAAGAACAAAGTCTCACCCTTCCCCTATCTACTTTTCCCTTTGCAAATAGAAAAAAAAATTAAGACTGAGTGTGGCAGTACATGCCTTTTGTCCCAGCACTTGGGAGGCAGAGGCAGGCAGATCTCTGTGAGTTCAACTCACAACTGTGAATTCAACATAGTGAGTTCCAGGCCAGCTGGGGCTACAGGGAGACCCTGTCTCAAAAAGACCACAAAAAAAAAAAGAAAAAAATTAAGAAAATGCTATTAACCATTCCTGGCATAACATCCCCACAGTCTCCCCACCATACCCAGAGCTCACTTCACCATATTCCCTAAATAGCTGCAGGAGAGGAAGGCATGGGGGGAGGAGAGTGCCACATCAGAGGACAGGGTGTGTGACACAGATAGGGGCAGAGAGAGAAGACAAGTGTCCACACTGAACCCAGGGAGGACACCAAGAGAAACAAAATCTCTGAGGGTTTCCTGGGGGACCAAAATCCTTTGTCCAACTGCATCTCAGCTCACCTGGGTAGAGCGTAAATGATGAGTTCGGTACTTGAGAAAGAAGTTCACCAGTTTATACAAGTCATCCTCACTTTCAATTGCCAGGGCCTGGGGAGAAAACAAGGTGGCTGCTCAGACACTTTATCAAACAAACCACGAAGTTGAAAGTTCACAGACTCCCAGTTCCTCAGAGCAAGAGGTTCAGCTTGCTGTCCTTGGCATTCTTGGACTCTGCTATGGCCCAGATTAGAGGATGCTGGTCCAGAGCTAGAAGTTGCAGTGGAACTGGGGCCATCAGAACAGAGAAACAAAGCCAGAGGCTGGGACACAGATTTGGTGGGTGTTAGAGTGCTATGGGGATGTTAAACATATGTCTGGCTTTGGGGATAGGGGAGAGCTACAACCTGGAAGCTGGGTCATGAGGGAAGCCAACAGAGGAAGGTCAGGGATGGGAGACATTTAAATGACACGGAAGCCAATCTGATGTGTAGCAAGCAAGCAAGGAAGGCAGTAATAGTGATTCCAGAGAAGCCTGGGAGACTGAGGTAGGATCAGGGCTGAGGTAATGTCAGGAAGACAGGGTTCAACCTCACCCCATGTCCTCTCTGCCCAGTGGGACTTACAGAGAAGATGGCATCCAATCTCAGCAGATAGCATTCAGTCTTCTCTAAGGGAAGGAGCAGGCTCAGCAGCTTGCTCTCTATGAGGAAACCCTGAGGAGAAAAGGAAGATGGTGTCCCCAATCAGGAAGATGCCTATGCCCACAGGAAGGTAATCTTGGGGTGCCTAAGCCAGTTTCAGGAAGTAAGGCCAAGGACAAAGTGGGTCTCCATCTTGGGTTTAGACTGTCTTCTACCTCAGAAAGCTGGTTATTACCTCACCCACAAGCCTCAGGGCAAACACCTAAGTCTCCACAGCAGTTTAAACTAGACCCAGCCTTATTGACCACCTCACCCATATTTCCCAAATAGCTACAGAATCCAGCAGTTGGCTACTGAGGAGAGGAGGAAAAGGGAAGGGGGAGGGGTGAGCCACATCAGAACACACTGAATGTGACACAGATGGGGGCAGTATGAGAAGTGTCCACATTGAGCCAAGTTGGGAGAGCCTGCATCTGGCAGGGAGGACTTGCCAGCTGACTCCTTCAGCAGGAGCTACCTTGATAACAACAGCCAACCCTTACACAGAAGAAAACTGCCCTGACTATTCCAAGGCTGCTGAGGTTGCTGAGCTGTAGTCTATCTAGTTTTTTCTTCCACCTCAGAATGCTGGCATCTAAAGAAACACCCACAGTATTTGGTAACAACCCAACTCGAGCTGAGCCAGTTCCAACATGCCTTTACTCTAAGCTCAACCCTGTGGCTAACATATAATGCACATTAGCAAAACCAAACACAGCCAACACAGTCCGTGATAGGCCACAGTCAATGTAGCCACATTAACTGGCAGATGAGGTTGTGGAAGGGCAAACTGGCACATGGGTTTGTGGAAGGGAAAATGGTACTCTGAACCAGCAATGTTCCTAGAAGGAGCCACCAGTTCATCCAGACCAGCCTCATGGGCCCACTGTGGGGACAGCCAGATCTCTCTAAGCCCTGCTTCCCAAGTTCACTCCCCAGGGCCCCTTTCTGGGCAGGCCACGTCAGCCAGCCACAGAGGCCTCACCGACTCATCACACAGGAGCATCAGGATCTTTCTGGTAGTTTTTGCTGAAATTTGCTTGGGTAGGTCTAGGTAAGACTCTTCTGACCCAGTTGCTTCTGTCCTCTCCTCTTCTGCAGGTAGGCCAAAGAAAGGAAGAAAAGGGGAAAGGAGATGGCTTCTTGCCCTTGTGGACTCTTGGAAACAGTGAGATGGCTTCTTTGAGCAAACAGGCCTCTTCCTGCCTCTCTGTGCCCAATCATGCTGAAGAAAGCCTGTGATATGGAGTCCAGGACTGGGGGCTGGATCAGAGACTGTCTGGAAAATCCCCAGACATTCCTGGCCAGCCCAGAATGATGTACTTTCCCAAACTGTGTCTACCTGAAGGCCTCATGCTCAGAATCCAGCCATGAACCAGAAGTGGGAGGTAAGTTTGAACCTATCTATTTGCATTTTGGAGACAACCCTGTAAGCATATTACATGATTTCTAAACCTACAGAGATTACAATCAGCCAATTAAAAGGGCATTGTCAGCAAGGACTGACAGGCTGACAGCAGGAGCCCAAACTCCCCTTAAAATTAAAAGGGCTGGAGAGATGGCTCAGCAGTTAAGAGCACTGACTGCTCTTGCACAAGACCCAAGTTCAGTTCCCAGCACCTACCTCGGACAGCATACAACAATCTCTAAATTCTGGTTCCAGATGACCCGATGCCATCTTCTGGCCTCTGCACGTGTGCGCGCATACACACACAATTTTTTTTATTGAAAAGAAAAACACGAGGCCTCCCTCTGGCATAGGGGCTGAGAATGCAAGGGACTGCATTAGAGTGCCTGGATTCTGCCTCCATGTGGTAGGAATGTCCCAAATTTTGCTCTGTCCCACTAATAGGGGACCTTAGAAGGAAGCCTGTGTATACCTGAATGGAACCTGACACGGGCTTCTGTGGGTGCTCCTTAGTAGCTGATCTGAAGCCATCAGTTCCCCCCAAAACAAAACCTGAGAGAACCTGAAATCTGGACAAACCAGCTTCACATAATAAGAAAAGGACCATGGCACACTAATAATTCAAACAAAAGCATACTTCAACTTAATTCTCGTATCAGAATCACAAACAACAAAAGAAATTCACATGCCAAGATCACAATGAAAGAATAATAAAATGTAAAGCCAAAACACTATGTCCCCACCAAACTCTACCAGTCCTATAGAAGTGTTCTACAAAGAGAACCCCCTAGAGATAACCCAGGACACAGAATTTAAAAGAACAGTCATAAACATGATCAAGGAATTCAATGAATTTAAAGAACACACGAACAAACAAATCAAAGAACTGAAAGAAGACAGGGATAAACTGAAAGGGATAAACTTCTGAATAAATTCACAAAAGATATAGAAAGATTGAAGAAAACTCAGACAGAAATGAAGAAGGAAGTGCAAAACTCAACAAGTCAACTTGAAACAACAGGGGAACACCTCACCACTAGAATGAATGAAATGGAGAACAGAATATCAACCCTGGAGGATAAAGTTGAAGAATTGGACCACTCAAGCAAAGATTATGAAAAATTTTTTAAAAATACAGGAATGGAATATGCAAGAAATGTGGGACACTATGAAAAGGCCAAATCTATACATCATAGACACAGAGGAAGGAGAAGAATTTCAGTGGAAACACAATATTAGAAAGAGAACACAAACAACAATCAAAATGACGGCAACCAACACACATGTTTCAATAATAATATCAATGGACAATGGACTGAACTCCCCAGTCAAAAGACACAGGCTAACTGAATGGATTAATAAACAAAATCCATCCCTTTGCTGTCTTCAAGAAACCCATCTCACCTTCAAAGACAGGCACTACCTTAAGGTGAAAGGATGGAAAAGACTATTCCAAGCAAATGGCACTAAGAAACAAGCGGGGGTTGCAATTCTAATATCAGAAAAAACAATGGACTGAACTCCCCAGTCAAAAGACACAGGCTAACTGAATGGATTAATAAACAAAATCCATCCCTTTGCTGTCTTCAAGAAACCCATCTCACCTTCAAAGACAGGCACTACCTTAAGGTGAAAGGATGGAAAAGACTATTCCAAGCAAATGGCACTAAGAAACAAGCGGGGGTTGCAATTCTAATATCAGAAAAAATAGACTTCAAAGTAAAACTAATCAAAAGAGATGAGGGTCACTTCATTCTGATCAAAGGAACCAAGAAGATATTACAATCTTTAACATATATGCACCAAACTCTGGTGCACCCAAATTCAGAAAAACAACACTACAGGACTTTAAAACAGAGATTAACCCCAACTCAGTAACAGCAGGGGACTTCAATACCCCACTGTCTCCATTAGACAGGTCAACTAGACAAAAATAAAAAAGATGTCTAAATTAAATGATACCATACATCTAATGGACCTAACAGACATCTTTTGAATATTCCACCCAAGCACCAAAGAATACACTTTATACTCAGAACCCCATGGAACTTTTTCAAAAATTGACCACATACTGGGCAACAAAACAAACCTCAACAAATACAAAAAAAATCTAAAATAATTCCATGCATTCTGTCAGACCACAATGCAATAAAGCTCAGAATCAACAGTGGATGAAGCCCTAGTCACTACATGAACTCATGGTGATTAAACAACACATTCCTAAAGAATGAGTGGGTCAAAGGAAAAATTAAGAAACAAATAAAAGAATTCCTGGAATTTAACAAAAAGGACAATACAACACACCACAACCTCTGGGACACTTTAAAAGCTGTCCCAAGAGGGAAGTTTATAGCTTTAAGTGCCTACATTTAAAAATTAGAAAGAGCCCAAATAAATGACCTAACACTGCAATTCAAGACACTGGAAAGGCAAGAACAAATGAAACCCAAACCCAGAAGAAGAGAAGAAATAACAAAAATCAGAGCAGGCATTAATGAAATAGAAACAAAGGAAACAATACAAACGTTACCAAGAGCTGGTTCTTTGAAAAGATAAACAAGATTGGCAGACCCTTAGCCCAGTTAACCAAAAGAAAGAAAGAGCAAACCCAAATCAACAAAATCAGAAATGAAAGGGGAAACATCACAACAGACAACCAAAAGATCCAGACCAGTATAAGGGAGTATTTTAAAAACCTATATTCTACTAAATTTGAAAATCTAAAATAAATTGTTGGCTATCTAATTCATAGGAACCACCAGTTATACCAAGAAGGAATCAACAGTTTAAACAGACCCATAACATATAAGGGAATCGAAACAGTAACACAAAGCCTTCCAACTAAAAAAAGCCCAGGCTCAGATGGAGGTACAGCAAAATTCTACCAGACATTTAAAAATGACCAACCAATACTACTTAAACTATTCAAAATGATAGAAACAGAGGGAGAACTCCCAAATTCCTTCTATGAAGCCAGACCTTTAAGTTTACATTCGGATTTTGTACTCTTATGGTAAAATTAAGGAAGAACTAATACTCGTTTTCGGTTGAGTTGGAAATTAGGAGTAATTATTTGTATGTCCTACAAGCATTAACTTATAGCCATCTGTTGGAGATCCAGCATCAATCTAATAATACTCAAACCAGGTAAAGATACAACCAAAAAAGAAAACTATAGACCCATATCATTAATGAACATAGATGCAAAAATTCTCAAAAAGTACTTCCAAATCGCATACAGACGCACATCAAAAAGATCATTCACCAGGATCAAGTAGGCTTTATCCCGGAGATATGGGGCTGCTTCAAAATATGCAAGTCAATAAATGTCATTAATCATATAAATGGACTAAAAGACAAAAACCATCGTCATCTTAATAGATGCAGAAAAGGCTTTTGACAAAATTCAGCATGCATTTATGTTCAAAGTCCTAGAGGGAATTGGACTGAAGGGAACATACCTCAACATAACTAAAGCTATATTCAACAAACCCACAGCCAACATCATTCTAAATGGAGAAAAACTGGAAGCATTCCCATTAAAAGCAGGAACCAGGGGCTGGAGAGATGGCTCAGCGGTTAAGAGCACTGACTGCTCTTGCAGAGGACCAGGATTCGATTCCCAGCACCCACATGGCAGTTATGAACCGTCCTTAACTCCAGTTCCAGGGGAATCCAAAGCTCTCTTCTGATCTCTGCAGCATTGCACGACACGGGTACACTCACATACATGAAGGCAATACACTCATACAC